TTAGTCATTGTAACCCTGTGGCACCAAACAGCCCTGTGGAAAACCCCATCTGTGGATTTGTCCATTTTCTCACTGGAGATTCCTAAACTTGGCCTGGGTGACTGTGCTCTTCAGCAGTTCTGCTTGTCCCCAGCTCCCTTCTCCTGTCCAAGATTAGCCTTTTCACCTGTCTTTGCATTGTACCCCAGTGTCACTCCTTCACAAACCTTGAGCTATCAGTTATCTTACTCCTGTATCTTTATCTGAATCTTCTGTGCTCGATTTTTCTTCCCACTGCAGATTGATAAGGTCAAGCCTTCTCTGTCCTAAAAACAACAAAGAAAAATTTTCTTTTTCCTATGTCTCCCTAGCCTGTGGCATTATTTCTTGTCTTTCCTTCATAGCCAAGCTTCTTATAAACTTACCTATACTCACTGTTAGCCTCCTTATTTTTTTTCCAGATTCCTTTGCAAGTGCCCCTTGAAGTTTTGGAGTTGCTCCTGAACTTGGTCCCTTATTTCTTTCCTGACTTCTTGTGATTTCAGCAAACATCTGTCTCTAGGCTGGACCTCTCCAGAACTCTCCATTCATACACTATTTTTTCTTTTTGGTGGTCCAGGGGATTGAACCCAGAGGTACTCTATCACTGAGCTACATCTCCAGCTTTTCTTTCCTTCCTTCCTTTTTCTTTCTTTCATTTGACACAGAGTTTTGCTAAATTGCCTAGGCTGGTCTCAAACTGGAGATCTTCCTGCCTTAGCCTCCCGAGTTACTGGGATTATAGGCATTCACCTTAGCACCTAGCTCATATGCTGTCTCAGTGGATGCACTGCATGTATCCTTTCAGTTATCACTATTTCAGAGGCTGAAAGAGCCAAGGTCAAGGTGCTGCCAATTCTCACTGTGTCCTCACTAATCTCTTTATATGGGCTCTACACTCATTACCTTCTAAAGGTCTCTTCTTCAAATACTACACTGGACTTTAATTCATAAATTTAGTGGGGAGAAGAAGAAGATACAAATATGTGGCCCATAACATGTACATGACAGCCTGATGGAATCTCCGTTCAGCTCTTATACACACTCTTATCATTTCAACACGTGTAAAATTGAACTCATCCCCTTACCCACAATCCAGTTCCTCCTGAAATTTCCTTATAGGTGCCAGATTCCACCCAGGCACCTAAATCAGATGTTTAAAAATTCATCCTATACATTTCCCTGCCACTGTACATCATGGACAAGTGTCCAGCTAAGCCTTGTGATTTCCACCCCTAGAAGACCTTGCAGATAGACTCCACTTCTCTGTTTCATTGTCACCCCCACAGCTTAAGCCCTCATGTTTCTCATCTTAAAGTATTGGTTTTTCTTGTTCCTTTTGCATCTATCCTCCCCTTTCACCCTATCTTTCACCCTATCTCTAGGGTGAAATTTTAAAGAATGAATGGTATTACTCATTTTTAATGCATCAAAATAAGATTCTGACTCTTCTTGGTCAGGTTCCTCCGGGCAGAACTATTTGTGGTGCCCGACCTGCTGTGGATTTCCGTGCCTCTTTGTCTTTGCACTTTGTCTTTGCCTTGCCCTCTGTCTAGAATGTCACCCACAGCCCTCCCTCCCCTATGCCTTCACTGGTATTTTCCTACAGGAGTTGCTTTCTTCCCTGCATAGGCTTTAAACTCCACCTGTTAGGTGCTCCTTTCTGTTATCCTGCACCTTGGATAGCTCTCCCATAGGCAACACAGCCTCAGTCTACAGCTATGGTTTCTGTATTTTTCCTCCATCAGACTGGACAAGCATAAAAAACAGATTTGTCTTACTCATCTTTATGCACCATGTGCAGTAGATATCTATCATGTACAAGGTACTTAATAAATGCTTATGAAATAAATGAATGAAATAAGCATGTCTAATGCCCTCTAGTTCCTGTTTAGTGTATCAAGTTGAGATAGTTTAAACAGTTCAAAGCATCCATGTGCCCACCCCCAATCTTGGTACTACTTCCTTATGTTACATTTAAGAACCCGTAGTGCCCCTACTCCATTAGTTTTCTGGATTTTCCAGAAAGGTTTTTATGCCTTTTCTTTTGCCTACGCTTCTCTATGCTGGACAGTTGGAGATTCCATATTTCCTCCTTTATTTACTAGGATCTAAAGATGGTCAAGAGCTAATGACCATTAGTTCTTTTAGGTCTCCTCTTATCTAGTATGCTATTAGGCACCCATAATATTTATAGCTGTTCCCAGTTCTAACAGATCTATTATTGTCCTATTTCATTAAGTCAACAAGACTGTGTGATCATTGAAGCCCCTGCTGGGCAGCAGAAAGTCTTTCAGAAAGCAGTCCCCTGGTTTTGCTTTAGTTTGGGAATTGATTAGCACAGGCAGAATGGCTGAGCAGTTTGGTTTTTTAGGACCTGCTCAGATCATAGGAGATTTTTTTCTGATCCCAGACAAAGTCATCTCTAAACCTTCTGTGTCTGGAGCTTCTCAGTCTTCATTGTGAGAATCCCTAAGGATAGAGAGAGGAGAGGGAGCCTCCTCTTGTAGTTTGCTCTACTGATTTGCTACCCTGTCACAACACTATGTCTTTTGTTGGTATTTATGTGACACTTTCTCTGAGTCAGATCCTTAGGCAACAGATGAATGGGACACAGCCCTGGTCTTGAGTCTAGAAGGGAAAAGTGGGTATGTTCAATGCTGTGTGCTCAGTGCCCTGAAACACAGGTGCACGGAGTGCTCCTGGAGCCTAACTCCTCCTGACAGCTGATGACAATTTCCCCTGCCCAGACCAATGTCCATTTCACCCTGATTATTCCTAGACAAGTGTGGAGAAAAAGATGCTTAGTATCCAGCAGCAGCCACCACCTAAACAACAGCTACGAGTTTCCATAAGCCCAGTCTCTTGCTAACCCCAAAATGTCAAGGTCACTTCTGGGTGGTTGTATGGTAGAAAACAGGTGGCTTCTATGCTCCCTGCCTGCTGGCTCATGAAAGAGTAAAAGAGCTGCTCCAGCAGGCCGTGGTCAGGGCCATCCTTTCTGTTAAATACCTTTGCAACCCCTCAACAGGGCCACCTTCCCAGCTCCTGTAGCAGCCTGGAGAAAAAACAAGTACACTGTTGACTTTTGAAACACCATGCTGATTTTCCCAGATGACTGGTTGGGTTGGCAAAGGAAGAATTCCTAGAACTATTTGTTCTTTAAGACAGCCACTCAAATGACTGAGGCCTGGTATTCTGCACCAGCACCAGCTATAGGGTAACAGTCCTCTATATCTACGGCTTGTGTCAACCTGCTCTGTTTTTCCAATTAGTGCTTGGTCTCTGAAAACTTCCAAGAAATTGCATTTGAAGACAATAGTGATGAACCTAATCCCAAATACAGAAAATAGTTCCTGTGAAATGCCAAGAAATTATTTGATGTTTTTAGAGAGCCCAAGAAATAGAAAGGAACAAGAGATGAAGAAAAATAAGAAATAGTGGACTTTGATACATTGATATTAAGCAGTATGCTGTGTGTGTGTGTGTGTGTGTGTGTGTGTGTGTGTGTGTGTGTGTGTATGAGTGATTAAAGACCTGGTCTCTGTCATCAGAGGAAGGTAAGAAAAGTGGTAAGTGGAAAAATTAACTCAAAAAGCTGCCATCTCTATCTCTGCATCTGCTCCTAGAGAGAGAATTTGGGTCAGTCCTGGAGTTTGATACTCTGCTAGGAGAGAGCTTAGATCTCCCTGCCCATACTCCTCAGTTATGGAAACCTACCTGTCCATCTGACTGGGCCTCTCTTACCACTGAAAAAGTTGGGCCCAAGGAGTAAGGCAATTTGTTCTTATCCATCAGCTCAGAAAGACCTGACTAGGGCAGATTGCCAGTCTCTGGACTCCCCTACAGGGTACTTTCCTTCAGCCTGATTTCATTCCTGCTCTGGGTTGTAGAGGACATGACTGTACTGCCTTTTTCCAGAGTTCCCACACCCAGTTTACACAAATATAAAAACCTGGCAAAGCTGTCATATCCAGGCTTAAGGAAATGTCCCTTTCATTTTCGTTTGTTTGTTTTGGGGGGATGCTGGAGATTGAACCTAGTGGTATTTTACCACTGAGCCACATCCCAGCCCTTTTTGTTTGTTTGTTTGTTTGTTTGTTTTTTGAGATAGGGTCTACCTAAGTTGCTGAAGCTGGCCTCCTCCCAAGCAGCTGGGATTATGCCTGGTTTCCCTTTGTTTCTGAACTTTGAAAAGCTGTTAAAATGGAAGCATCTAATTGGGTTGGAAAGTTACTTAATGTACTTGAGTGGAAAGATGTGTGAAAATGGAATAAAGCCCATGATATCCCTTGGTTTGGCATAACTGAAAGCTGAAGTATTAGGCAGACAGGACATTGGTTTTTTTTTTTTTCAATTTTATAAGAAACAATACATTTTATTTTTCTGACACCACAGCTCTGGCAAGTGGTTTCATACCAAATTTAATGGAGGTCACACATAACATTTTAAATATGGGAGATGGAAGAGAGGAAAGAACCACAAAATTTAAAACAAAAATGAAATCCTAGATAGCTTTTAGCATCTGTTCTACTCCCACATTAATAAAATTGACTTTTAATTTTTATTAGGAATTCCTAGTAAGAAGAGAACAGAAAACAAGGTGGGCAGGGGAGAGTGTGGTGGAGGAGAGTAAGGCTAAGGGAAAAGAGGCCAGAGGGCACTCCTAGGACCGAGCTCTCCCTGCTAGGGCCAGGAGGACACTCGGCATGAGACGCGAAGCTTTGTTAGAGTTATTTCTCCCAGTAGAGCACTAGATATTGTGGCTTCCAAAGGGAAGAGGAGGGGAGGGAAGCAGAGGGTCACCAGTGGGGGAATAAGAGAACACCTTAACTAAGAGGGGAAGAGTGGGGAGAAAACTAAAGAAGATGAGATGGTGGGTTTATATGTCAGCAAAGACAGTGCTGAAGAGCACCTGAGCTGCAGCAAGTGAGGGGACATTGCTCTTGATGTCACCATTCCCTTCCCTATTGTTTCTGCAGGCCGCCAGCTCACGGGAGCTGAAAGAGCCTCCACTGTCACCGCAGAGGAGACTGACATCGACGCAGTAGAGGTCCCACTCCCAGGGAATGATGTCCTGGAATTCAGCCGAGGTGTGACCGACCTGGATGCTGTAGGAAAGGAAGGAGGCTCCCACATGGACTCCAAGGTAGGCAGGAGATGGCCCATCCAGGTGATCTGCACACGTTCCTGCTGCCTCCAGAATGACCTGTGTCACTGCTTAGCCTCAAGTCATTGCTGCCTCCTTGCTCCACAGCATGGTAGCAGTGATGGAGCGTTTCCTTGCTTTCAGAGAGGCCACACTTTTGTAGAGTCAACCCATTGTGCCAACATAACACCGCTGTGTGTCACAGTGCCGCTGGGGAGCTCCTCCTTTTTTTCTTTTTGTACCAGGGATTGAAACCAGGGTCACTTTACCACTGAGTCACATTTCTAGCCTTTTTAAAATTTTTAAAGAAAGGATCTTGCTAAGTTGCTTAGGTCTCAATGAATTGCTGGCCTGGTCTTGAACTTGTGATCCTCTTGCCTCAGCCTCTGGAACCACAGGGAATACAGGCATATACCACCATGTCTGGCTTGTGGAACTCCTTTCTTTCTAATGTGTGTTGTCCTTACAGGATCCTGTTGGTTTGTATATTTGTTCAATTTTTATTTTGAAACAGAGTCTTGCTAAGTTGCCCGGGTTGGCCTTGAACTTGTGATGCTCCTGCCTCAGCCTCCTGAGTCTCTGGGATTACAGATGTACACCCCCAAAGCTGGCCCCACTGATTTTTTGTTTCCTCCTTTTCCCTAAACAATCATTTCTGCACAATATTCATGCAAGGCTCATCCTGGCATACCCATATAATACCCATAATGCCCTGTGGTTCAGCCAATGGAACCAAGTATACTTGGATCCCCTCTTCCTGCTTCAGTAATTATGTGTCTTCACTACTACTCTCAGGGTGGACATTATTACCTACTCTAACATCCTGCAGATGAGATGACTGAGGCCTTGAGGAGCAACTAATATGATCCAGTTTAAAAAACTAAGAATGTGAGACTAAATTTAAAACTGAATACAACTAAAGTAAAAACGAAAAAAAACAAAAAACAAAAAAACAAAACCCAGAAGGAAAATTATTATTTTTTTTTCACATAAGTACACATCAAGGTATTTATTATAATTATATAATGTATAAACTATACACAGTTTCATTTAGGATAATAACCTCTATTAAGAAAAGATAGAGGCAATCAAAAATATTCTTTATAATTATTGATTTCAACTTTAATTTTAACTTTCTATGATATATTTCACAATGTTAAATATTGTCAAGAGAAAAAGTAAATAGACAATGCAGAAGTTCAGCAGTATGGCTCTTTTACTTACCATTTATTATTAGATATGTAATATTTTCCAAAGATATTACCCTTAGAAGGAAACCCATCATTATCAGTGGCCTATAAGTAGTCAATATTTTTCAGGGCCAGGATTATGGCTCAGTGGCAGAGCTGTTGCATGAGGCACTGGGTTTGATCCACAGCACCACATAAAAAAGTAAACAAATAAAATAAAAGTATCATATCTATCTACAACTAAAAAAATTTTCATTCTGCATATAGATTTTACTTGTATATCTAGAAATCAGAGGAACCCCATCCTTCCAAAAATTATTCTCTGTATTTCTTTTTCTTTTTTCTTTCTTTTTTAAAAAAATGTTTAGTTGTAGTTGGACACAATACATTTATTTACTTATTTTTATGTGGTGCTGAGGATTGAACCTAGGGCCTCGCACGTGCTTGGTGAGCGCTCTACTGCTGAGCCACACCTCCCTCCCCTGTATTTCTTTTATTACTACACTTTTACGTCTCTGATTGGAAACTCAATTCTTGTCATATATCAGTTAGGCAACTTAGACCATTCAGAAGTAAAGTAATGGTCTATGTCAAAAAAAAAAAATACTAGGATATGATGACCATAAATTCAAGATCACCCAAAAAGTAAATTTAAAGTCCCAGACCCCCTTCCCTACTCCTTGATGCCTATTCCAGGGATGGCGAGATGGTAATTTTATAGTCTCGATTAGACTATATCTTCAGAAGGAAAATTATTGACCAATAGCCCCTTAGATTTCCGGCCAGCTTACTGAATCATGGATACCTCTTTCCTTATCCTTCATTTACCTTATCTCAAGTCAAGATTTTTAGGCCAATTCATTAAAAAGAGAATCCCATATAGTGTGGAAGGCAGTAGCTGATGATCTCTTTGGTGTCCGTTTAGTCCTCTACAAGGGGCAATAGCCCTCTGTCCCTGGGTGCCTTCCTCTTTCATGTCTGAAGAGGGACCAGCTGCAGGAGGACCAGAAACAAAATGTGGCTGCCTATTGTTGAACTCTTGAGTCATAGGAAGGAGTCCAACGGGAGGAGGAGCCAGAAACTAGTGTAATCTGACAGAGGATCTCTCCAGATCATTGGTTTTCAAGTCCAGACTTTCTTCCCTGGTGTTCTCACTGTGAGGGGAGGCCGTGGAGAACTGAAGGCAGCTGCCCCTCACCTGGCTTCTTTCTCCAGTTTCTAACTCATGAGAAACATCTCAGACCCCTGAGGAAGGAAAGAACAGAAGCTTCCTTCTTCCTAGTCTTATGGTAATGTGGTAGGTTGCTATGTTTTATAGAAATAAATTCTCCTAAGTCTGGAATTTCAAGTAACTCAACAACAGGGTGTAATTTGAAGTAGCAGATTAAAGATGGGACTTTATCACTTGCCTGTCTCCCGTCTTGTGGGATCAGTTATTGAGATGTCCAGATACAGTTCTGGGTGGTCTACCCTCAGGCAGTGCCGCCATTTCTTCCCTAGAGCCCCATTTACATTCCATTCAATACTCAGCATCTCCTGGACTGTACATTAGCCGTTTCACCCTGCCTGTGTACATGTCGTCAATATGATAGGGAAAGTGAGGCCCTCGATTGTGGCTCTTGTCCATGTGTCATGTCTTCTTTTCAGGTCTCACCCCATCCTCAGGAGCCCACACTGACAGCTTCGCCCCGCATGCTGCTTCCTTCTTCTTCCTCGAAGCCACCAGGCTTGGGCACAGGGACGCCGCTGTCCACCCACCACCAGATGCAGCTCCTCCAGCAGCTCCTCCAGCAACAGCAGCAGCAGACGCAAGTGGCTGTGGCCCAGGTTCTCCTCAGCCTCCTCCCTACTTCACAGGCTCCACTCTCATGGGCTTGATGCGCCTTCCCTAGCAAGGGGCTCAGGGCAGGTTTAAAACCTAGGGAGCCATAAGGAATCGCTCATGCTATTGGATCATTGCTTGTTAGGGAGTCAGGGAGGTGGAGGAGAAAAGGGGAGAGACGGGGGTGCTGTTGAAATGGAAGGGCATATTCTGATTTCCCATGTATCCCCCGCTCTGAGTTGGGCTTGGCTGGCTTGGCTGAATGTTGTTGAATAATGACTTCAACTTACCAAGGGAAAAGATGCGCACAATTCCACCCTTCCTTTCCTACCTTGTTTTCCTGGTATTTAGGTTAGGAAGGGATACCTCTGAAGTCAGGACAGGTGTGACTTTGTGATATCACTCTTAAAACAGCTTCAAGTATAAATCTGTGCCAAACATTCTTCCAAAGAGTACTGTTATGGCATCCCAATCTACTTGTTTATAGCAGGTTTCCAAGCCTCCATTAGTGATCTACTTACTCAAAGCAGTATTTGATACAGAGTTGACCTTGGAATTCATCATATGGGATTGAATTTACAGGAATTTAGGTAGATTATTTGAGCCTTAATAAGAAGAACTATCTTACCCCTTAGGATTGAGATAGTGTTTATGCACTGAAAGGCTTGCTGGGCTACTGCTACTTGTTAGGAGAAACTTGAGCTAATTTCTCTTGCTGTTTGCTTTTCATGAAAGGCACATTCTCTTAGGAACCTATGAGTCTAAGCCTTATCTCTACCATGGGTAATTAGGAACTGGGGAAGATGCATCTGTTTATTCCATTTAAAGGCTAAATCCTGAGATCAGTTTCAGACAGGGTCAGGACCAGAATGAGTGGCTAAAGATAGGTGGAGGATGTGGTGGTCAGGGTTTGGCAGAGATGGTGAGAGATCTGGAAAGGCAGAGTTATGCATCAGCATTCTAAATCAGCTTGGGCAAACTTATTGCTCAGGTTTTCTGCAGTCTAAAATGAAGGGAACAGACTACTTCTGGGTATACTTATTGATCCTCATTGTATCTTCTGCTTACTCTTCTCCTGAATTCTGGGTGGAGCAAGTTCTCCAAGCAGAGCTGTCCTTTCCAATGGTAAACTTTGAGGGAGCATTGGCAGTCTAGCCATATTGGATTTGCTGTGACTTGGTCTTGAAAAGAACAGTCTCCACTGACCTGAGCCTGTAACACCAGTCTCATTGGTGATTTTGCAGTAGGTTTCAGAAGAGTAGGCCCACTGCCAATGTACTAGATTCTCCTTAAAAATACTTACCATGAAAAATTCTGATCAAAGGATGTGTGGTGGTTGTAGGAAGATTTACAGGTGTTTCCAAAACAGTGACAGAGAGGAGAGAATGTCATTTGTGGCTTCTTATGTTGGGGGGGGGGCATCATTCCTCTTTGTCAGATAAAATAATTTATCTCCTATGGTAAATGATGGTGTGGCAGTCTGAGGATCCCCTCCTCCTTAGCATGGGGGATGACAGGAGCACAAAACCAGAGTGCTCCAGCACTGGGTCCATTCCAAAACACATCATTTCCAAAAGTTTCCCATTGAATATAAATTCATTCTCCAACCATAATTCTTTTATCTTTCAGCATATCAATTGCCAAGTAATTATTATTTATCTAAGGGTAGGCTTGATGCATATTCATGATATTATTAGAAAGGCATTTGAATATGAAGTCACTGCTGTGTACTAAAGACAAATTATTTGCAAATGCATGATCTCCGCACAATAAGAGTATTGTGGGGGTAAAAGGAATCACTCATCTGCAAAGCAATAAGACCTATAACCTATCATAGGTCTATCTCAGCCAGAATGAAATCAGAAGAGTGGTTTTCTGGTATAAAATCAAGCATCTGTCTCAATGGGACATCCCTGCCCTGCCCTGTTCTAATTGCCTCTCTTCTGAGAAGACAGTGAATCTGGAGGAAGAGAACAGTGTGGTGTTTGGGATTCATTTCATTAGCCTCTCTCAGTTCCAGCCACTTCTGCAGGCTGGGCAGCCTTAGCTTCTCATTCATTTGGAATCTGTCGGACATAACTGGCAGAGCCCTGCTTTACTCTCAGCTCAAGCAATGACATGATGAAAAGCCTCAAAGCATCCACATCTCATATTGGTACAGTGACTTTGAGTACAGTGATAGACTTCCAAAGACTTCAAATGAGACAGGACTTTGAGATCATATGCTAGCTGCTTGAGCATTTCTTCTACCCCTCTATGCCATCCCCATCAGTCAGTCTCTGACCACCTTCCTTCTGTCTGCATCTTGTTTTTACTGCCTAGGAACGTAGCAAGGATATTGTTCTATCGCTCAAAAGCTGGCTTTCCACTCCTGGTCCTATGACAGATTCAGTTCTAAAGTGGCATTTAGGCTTCTGAATTCCAGGCTTCTCTGCACTCTTTCTTCATCTCACTTTGTAGGATTTGGTCTAAGCACTTTTTGTTAATATCCAAATCCTTGTTATCCAAGCAATTATGTCAGATAGGTAGGTGAGTTACTAGGTAGGTCATCTTAGTGTCTTTAACACTATGAAATAAACCAACTACAGTGTGCTTGGTTTCTCCACATAACTAGGAGTAATTTTCATTTCTAGCATGAGGTTGGTTTTACTCATTCTGCCAGACTCTATTGCCAGCAAACTGTGAGGTTTCTATCTTTCATCATTAAAATACCAGCAGTACCCAGAATTTCAATGATCAAAACTGTGACCTCAGAATTTCAGGTGGGAATATATGTTCCTTTTCTCTGTGAGCATCTGAGCTCTCCTCTGTTGATCCTGAATAAAAAGTTAAGGATCAGGCTCCAGTTTCTTACAGACAGGTATACTCTTGTGGTCACTTGTTATATGTTATTTATGTTCCCTGCCCCATTGTTCCCAGCCAGTCTGGTTCTGCTCTTATCATTGGGACCAGGCTCAGGTCTCTTTTGTGGTGTTTTGATTTGGTGTAAGACCTCAACCTCTCCTGGTTTTATCCTAAATTCATTCAGAGCTGGTCTTAAGGGGCCTGCCCTAGCCTTAGAGGTACAGGGGTAAAGGGTAGTGTTCAGTCAATTCTTAAGTACTTCCAAGTCAGTCATCAGTGTGTAAATAGTGAATTACCCACGTCCCTCTGACCACTCTCCCCAGTCCAGCATGAGCCTTGCCTGGCTGCACTGGCTCCCTGCTTTTAGATGGACCCGAAGTTCAAGAGTGTGAATGTGATTATAATCACACCTTAGATCAAACTTGGAATGTAACTAGTACCTGCATGGCTGTGGACTGGGCCTACATGGCTCCAAAACTGATCTGGGCTTTGTGGCTAACTGTTAACAGCCAAGTAGGCCAGATCTGTTCACAGTTTGCCAATTCCTGGCCCAGCTCATGGGAGAATGTTAGTGCAGCTTAGTATTGTTATTTAAAGATTCCTCCTCTACCTGCTGCCAGTTCTGCTTGTTTAGGAATCAAGTAATTAATTATTTATGCTTTGCAATCGTGTGTGCTGTAGTTAGACAAATAGTGCTAAGAACGCTCCGCATCCCCACCCCAGGCCCTAGATTTAGCATCTGTCCTGTGCTTCTCCCAGTCCCCAGCACCCTGGTATGTATTGCCCAAGTTCCTGCCTCATGCATGCTGAGACAGCGCTGCCTGCCTCTGCTTGTGTGTGTAGTGTGTGTGAGGGCAAATTGCTCTGGTTCTTTCCACTGCCATTTCCATGTGCCTACTGCTCCCTAACTTCAGCCTGGCCCTGCCCCCACTTCTGATGGAGGAGCTGGAGTCCAGGCAAGTAGGCTAGAAAGTGAGTGGGACCATGGTCTGATGTGGCTGGGTGGGTTGAGGGTGGGTGTCAGAGTTTGGGGAAGCAGCACAGAGCTGGAGAGTGAAAGGTTGAATGTACACATGTTATGTTGTGGCTAGGATGCAGACCTGGACACTAGCATGAGTGTGGCCTTGGTGCCACATCACCATGTTGCCTTTGTCACTGACTTAGTCTATGAGTGAATAATCATTGCCAAAGATGACACAGCTCTGGAAAGAATACACTAACATGTTCCTTTTCAGAAATTGATACAGTCTACCTTTCTGAAAGGCATTTAATTCTTTGCAAGGAAAGTAAGCTAAATACAAATAAACATCCCATTTGGGAAGAAGGGGTGATGCTTTCTGCTCCTGTCCTATAAATAGGGAAGTAAAGCACAGTGAGCCATAGCACACTGTCCAGACCAAGGCCGGAAGTAATGCTGCTTCATTCCAGCATCTCCAGGTCAAGTCCATATATACTTTGCCTCAAAGTTAAAAGAAGTCCCAGCCATTTTGTCCCCACTTGACCTGATTTGGGTTCTCCTGCAGCACAGACTGCCTCAGCTGAGGTTTGAGCCTCATGCTTTTTGTCACTTATGATGGCTGTAGAAGGAGAAGGGCTCATTAGTGCTAGTTTGGGGCAGTGACAACAGCATTTACTTTTCACATTCTCAAGGTTTAAAACAACTAAAATGGTATAACTCTGTTTGCACATGTAAAATTCTTATTTAGTCTAGGACAAAGTGCACTCAAGTTCAGGAATGTGTTCTCGTGGCACTTAGTGCCAGTGGATTTGCGATGGCAGCATTTGTTTCCAGGCTCTTCTTTTGAAAGAGTGTTGATGGCACTCCACCATTGGAAGTTGGATACCTGCAAAGGAAGATTCCCACTTCTTTCCCCCTGTCTTCTGCAAGAAGAAACCACTCTTTTGTCCTGAATCCTAATTCTCAGAAGTCACAATGGGTAACTGGGGACTCTTTTTCTGTGAACCTATAGCAAGTGGCCCCTAGTACTGGCCACTGTGTCTCCCTGGATGTGGGATCAACTGTACAAGCCCACAGCTAGCCCTCTCAGTTAACAGATGGAGAAGCTGAAGTTCAGAGAGAAGCGAGTTACCTGTAGTTGGCCAGGAAGTATAACCGACAGACTCCAGTATTCCATCTTCTGGCCCAGCACTTTTAAATGGCCTGTTCTGTTGGGGTGTTCATATTGGGATGTAAGGACCTGAGCCTAGTAGATGTATGCAGAGAGCCCTAAGAGATATCAGTTAGTGGGATATGGGATTCTCTGCTTTTTCATTTATATCCACCGAAAAATTTGTATTTCTGCCTGACGTTTCCATTTGGTTCTAAAGAAAGTAGAAAATGAATAATGAACAATCCTATTTGTTCGGTAGATTCCTTTCAATTATACTCTTAGTTTAAATAAGTAACAGAACTCACAGGTGGAAGGTTGAACTGGACTTTCCTCCAGGGGCATGTTTGAGGGCTTCTCACAGCAATTGCCCTCTTCCTTATAACCAGTAGGATTTGGGGGACTCCCAGGAGACACTATTCCATGCCTCATTTACCTAGGAACATAAAGGTTTAATAACCTCCTACCATTTGGGATCTAGATAAAATGTTATTGACACTTCTTTTCCTATTCAGACCTTCCCTCAGTTTATATGAAATAGCAAATAAAGCGGACATCTTGACCAAAAAATCAGTTCTGTCCTTAGCAATTCCTTGTGAAGGACAGATTTACTTTAGATTCCATAGGCACTATCTTCCTTGGAGAAGGATGAGCCCAACCTCATGGAGCACAAATGAAAAGTGGCAGCTAATCTCATTAGGGACTCAACTTGGCTAGAAGCAGAGCCAACTACAAGGTCAGGTCCTCAGATCTTGGCAAAGAGAGAGACAGGCACTATACCAAACAGTGTAATTTTCTTGGTATTGGCTCTTGGAAAGGACAGATACCTGGGGGCTGGTCTCTTAGTTGCAGTGTGAGATAACGATGGTCTTTTACTCCCTGACAAAATGTGAGTCTCTGGAGCAGGTTTCTTTTCAGAAATCTAGAATCTTTGTTATCTGAACAAGAAACCAGCTGCCTCCCTTCCATCTTTGTCCCCACTCCACACCTCACCTACCCTGACTCTGAGTGTTTGTTTATACTATGTTTTGGTCCAAGAAAACCTTCTTCACCATAGCTGCCTTGGTCCAGGTCGCCAAACTCACTAGTTTCCTTTCCTCGGAGGCCTTCTGAAACCCTCTCAGAGACTCCCTATCCACCTTTTAGCACAAGATTGTGGACATTTTATTGGCCTTGTGACTCAGTTTCTTCAAGCCAGAAGCCTGATATAATTGCCCCATATCCTCCCACTGAGTTTTATCTCCACTTGGAGACTACACACTAAGAATAGGCAGTAGGTAACACTGCCCACTGAGGGTGCATTTGCTGGCTGCTCTATCATAGAATGTTGTGAATTGTTAGAGCTTGCCATAAACATCCATTTCAGCCTTTCAAGGGTTGTCAAAAGAGGCCTTGTTATCAGTCACTCAGCAAACATTTGACTCCTTCCAGGAAGAAATAACTATCCCAGGTGTCAATATGGGAAGTAACAAGGAAACAGATAACTGGGCAGAGAAGTTCGCATCCACAGACATGAGAAGGAAGGCTTTATTACAGCCAGCTCACTAATTTAGTGCTTCCTAGCTCTTGTTATTTTTGTGCAAAAGGAGGGGAAAGGAAAAGATTATGTGGGGGTTGTTATGCCACTATTTCTTAGTGAGCAGGTTAATGTATGAGTTTTTGTTTTTTAAAAGACAAGATGAGAAAAGGGTACCTCCCTCAACATGGCAGTGCTGTGTTGAGAGCAGGAGGAGTTTTCACAGCAGGGCTGGATGGAGGGAAGTGTTTGTGGTGGAGTGTGGCCCTTTCCTGCCTCTTGTCCTTGTGGTGGGGCTCACAGTAGTACCTGAGTGATGCATTATGGCCCTCCCTCCAGACAATCAGAGAGATCCACAGGGGCCATGACCAAGCTGCTTTTGGCTCCTCCTCCTAAATTACAAGCTGAGGAGCCTACTTCATTGTGAAGAGCTTTGTCTTGAGTTGAATGTAGAGGGCATCTCTGGTCCTAGCCACCCACTGGCAACTCTCATTTGCATTCATGTCCTTCTCTTCTCTTTGTCCTGTCTTCTCTCTGTCTTCCCTTCCTCCTCCTTTCTGCAGGTTCACTTGCTGAAGGATCAATTGGCTGCCGAGGCTGCAGCTCGGCTGGAGGCCCAGGCCCGCGTGCACCAGCTTCTGCTGCAGAACAAGGACATGCTCCAGCACATCTCCCTGCTGGTCAAGCAGGTGCAGGAGCTGGAGCTGAAGCTGTCAGGACAGAATGCCAGTAAGCCAGTGCCCTGCCCAGCCACACCTCCTTGTATGCAAGCTCTGGAAAACACATGCTATTTTCCTAAAGCTTTGGGGGATGCTTTATTAAACCTCTGACTTTGCCTTTGTATTCCAGCAGAAAATAGGCAGCTTTGTTTATTTTGTCTGTATATTCATGAATTACGAAATTGCAGGGCCAGAGCAAACTTTGGGTGCCTTCAAACCCAGCAGCCTGACTTGGCCTTGACTAGGAGTCACTGCCACATGCTCTCTATTTGGTAGGGGCTTAGGCATCCTAAGGCATCCCATTTCTTTCTGAGAGGGCTTTTTCAATCAAAATATATTGAGCACCTAATAGGTGTCATGTTCTCTGTGAATTCTGTGAGAGTCCTCAAACTGTCTAGTAGTTGACTCTCTCTGTATGTATTATATATTTCACAACTCTCCTGCATAGAAAAATCTAACAGTATGTCCACTTAATAGATAAGGAAGCAGAGTAAATAGAGAGACAGCTTTGCTGCTCAGTGGTGGAAGTTGCCCAGCACCTAGCCTGAAGTGCTACCCTCACCCAGGCACCTCCAATCTGGGCTAGGAAGCAGTGAAGGTGGTGCATCACTGTGTCTTCATCTTGGTTGTACTCATGGGTTATATGCATTCTCAGAGTCCATGTTGGCTGCAGAAATATCAACTGATCACCTCTTGTGCCATAAACTGTGATAGCATGTTTTATGTGAGCTCATTTAATCCCTGTGGTGGTAGATGTTGTTATACTCATTTTATAGAAGAGAAAAGAGACTGCTAGAGGTGAAGTAACTAGTTCAAGTTACAGGACTAGCAAGGGGTGGAGCCCAGATTCATTCCCAGGTCTAATTACAAAATTAATGTTTTTCAAACTATATCAGTAATTCCCCCAAACTATCCTATGAGCTTTTTAAAAAATGCGTATTATAGGATCCCCATCAGTAGGTCTAGGGCAGGGCCACAAGTCTGTATTTATTTATTTTTGTGAAGCTAGGGATTATACCCAGAACCTTATAAGTGGTGGGTAAGTACTGTGCCACAGACTTACATCCTCAACGCTTGAGTCTTTATTTTTAAAGGGGCCCAAAGGTATGAGCTATGAGCCCCTGTGCTTCAATATTGTGTAAGCCTCTCTAGATGGTTCAGATTTTTGTTTGTTGAGACCCTGCTCTGTCCTAACTAATGCTGATTTACACGGTTATACTAAAAAAAGTTACTGCATGCTTTTAGTATGGTTCTCTGAACCGGTACTTTTTTCCTTGCCATAAACCCCATTCAAGGCACTCAGTAGCCTTCCCCAAATCCTCACATGGTTCTCATTGCTCTGCGTTTACTGCTCTCAGGAAGCCCCTGCAGCCAAATATCTGATGCTTTGAGGGTGGGAAGAGGAGGTTCCAAATGCTTAGCCCAGCCAGGTGCTGCGTTGTTGGTCAGGGAAGGACCCATGCACGGGCTCGGACTGTAGGGAAGGACAGCTTCCCAACCAGAACCTCGCCTGACGTTGCATCCCCTCTCCTCTTGTTTCACTACAGTGGGCTCCCAGGACAGCTTGCTGGAGATCACCTTCCGCTCCGGAGCCCTGCCTGTGCTCTGTGATCCTATGACCCCCAAGCCAGAGGACCTGCATTCTCCGCCATTGGGCGCAGGCTTGACTGACTTTGCCCACCCCGCGGGCAGCCCCTTAGGTAGGCGCGATTGCTTGGTGAAGCTGGAGTGCTTCCGCTTTCTCCCGCCCGAGGACACCCCACACCCTGCGCAGGGCGAGCCGCTCCTGGGTGGCCTGGAGCTCATCAAGTTCCGAGAGTCCGGCATCGCCTCAGAATATGAGTCCAACACGGACGAGAGCGAGGAACGGGATTCGTGGTCCCAGGAAGAGCTGCCGCGCCTGCTGAATGTCCTGCAGAGGCAGGAGCTGGGCGACAGCCTGGATGATGAGATAGCCGTGTAGATGCGGGGCGAGGAGACTGCCAAGGTGGCAGCTGTGGTGTGTGGTCGGGCCATGTCTGTCTGCTGCTGGTAGGGAGATGCCCTGTGAAGGCACACTGCTGTGGATGACACCCAGGGGCCCGGAGAGTGTAAGGCTTCAGAGGAGGATTAGGATTTCACTTTGGAAGGTAATTGGGGGAAGAAATTGGATTCCCAGAGGCAGATCAGCTGTGTCTTTACCTGTGACTAAAGGGTGGTGGGAACAGGGCTTTCCAGAGCCCATAGTTTGGGGAAAGGGTCCCTCTTCAGGACCACCTGGCTGCTGGAAGACCCCCACCCCTACCCATTGCACTATCAGGCTCCTCTGCTTCGTTGTGTGATGCCCCAGTGGTCCTTCCATTCTCCCCACCTCCTTGAACCTGACCATAAAGGGAAGCCACTGGTACCTTCTCAGGTACTTTGGATATCAGGATGCTAAGAGTTGCCTAACCCTTCCCTGACCTTAATGGGAGAGTTCCTTCTCCAAGCCCTTGCTGACATTACAGAGGTTGAATGCTCTGAGCTGCAAGTCAGACTGTTCCTTTCAGTGTGAGCATGGAATTTGGATGTGTCATAAGTCACAGTGAATAAGCTATTAGAGAAAATTGAATCCAAACATTTTCTCTAGCTGAATGTTAGATGTTGCTTCAGAGGGAGCCTGGGACCATTAACATCATTCAGACCCTTGATATGAGAGAGCCCAGGGGGAGGACAGCCTGTTTGCTACCACAGATCCCTTAGGTCTTACTCTTCAGTTTGGAAGCCCTGCCCTGCCTGCCTCCTGCCTGCAGCCCAGCTTGTACAAACAGACGATTGGAAGTGCCCAGTGTTCTGCCTCAGGCTGTGCCAGACAAAGCTTTTGCAGCCACTTTGCCTCTGTGAAAGTCTCAGAGACCCAGAGCCCCTGCCTTACCTCTCACCTCTTCCCTCCACTGGGCAATAGTGGTCAGTTTTTACTGTAAACAAACAAAATGGATGTAAACTGATAGCTGAGAATCACTGCCACTTGGATCAGGGACCATAGCCATGACACCCTGGCCCATCTATCTGTGGGTGCGTGCCTTGAGCACACTTATAAAAGTGCCATGTGCAACACTTATCTTTTACCATCTAGGCCTTGCCTAGGGATCTCCACTTGTAACAGACTGACTAGGCGTGCAAGAAAAAGCTCCTTTTGCTCCTGTAAGGCCTTAAGTGGTTGTCAACAGATATTCAGATGCCAGAAAATAGGGCTCAGATATGCTTGAGTCATATTTTGGGGGGAAGAAGTCTTCATCCTGGGCCACAAACTATAGATCAAACTGAAGTATTATTATGGGGCCAACTGATAAGGATATAATTGCCCCAAATGGAGTTCTTCAACTTCAGCTTTACTTTGGAATTTATATAAATGCAAACTCAGCCCTTTCATAAAAGCCGCTGTTGGATTTCTTCTAGATTGGAAAATCCAAATTAAAGGAAATAAACACAGCTTTAAATAGCCCTCCCTGGTGCATGAGGGTGTTAGTGAAAGTAGGATGGGATGGGGTGTGTGTGTGTGTGTGTGTGTGTGTGTGTGTGTGTGTGTACTGACTGCAGCCTTGTAAGAAGTAATGGGAGAAAAGCAAAAAGAGATCTCCAGTGCAGCCTTGTAAGAAGTAATGGGAGAAAAGCAAAAAGAGATCTCCAGGGATCATCAATAGATTTTTTTTTTCATTTCCTAACATGCATCTAGTTGGAGAGTCATGGTTTTATATGTTATATTCTCTAATTAACCATTTAAAGTAGGTCCAGTTATACAGGGAAGGAAGAAACAGGAACATGAGATTTATAAAACTAAAGGAGCAACTGTCAGGAATCCAGTTTGGTTCAGCCTAGCTGGCTTATGAAATCCTAACCCAGGATTCCTTGAGTCTTGGAACTTTGATACCATCAGGATTTTGACCATAAGAGTAGTAGAAGGTCTTTTTCTCAAGGCCCACTGCCAGTAGCAGGGGCTAAGGATAAAGCCAGAAGCCAATGGAATAAGTGTGTGGACTGTAGATGGAGAATACTTATATAGAATGGGGTGGGGAAGAATCTTATGAAGGGAAGGGAGAAATGGAGATGAGATTAAATAATTAGAGTAAGTTATCTGTGATGCTGACTTAGGACCCATTCAAGACTTTTACCCTTGGTTGTTTTTTTGTTGTTTTTGTTTTTGTTGGGTTTTTGCCTCTATCTCTCCCTATCCCTGCTTCAGGCCCTTCCTGGGGCATTTATTCATTTGTTGGCACCTTCCCTAGTGTGATTTAAATCTGTGCACACTTGGTTTCTGGAGCTGGAGATGAAGGACAGACCTAGAAGCCTTGAAGTGTCACCACCCACCCACCTTCCCTGCGGCCAACTGGGCAGGAAAGGAAATGTTGCAGACCTGATGGCCCAGCGATGTCTCTCTGTCCTCCTCCCTCCTTGCTTCTTGCTTTGCTAACTCAAATCGACCTTCCTCTTTTTCATCTCTGCCCTATATGGAGGACATGTGAACACCAGGGTCCCCTACATTACTGGTGCCCAGCCCACCCCAGGTGCCAGCAGACTCTTGGGCACACAAGGCTCTCAGAGCTGCAGAGCTAGAAAAGAATTTCTCTGCACAGGATGGACTGTATATGGGGACTAAAAATTATATTCCTTATATTCCTGCTTATATGCTATCTGTAAAACCTCTTTCTAGTCTCACTCCTCTCAACTGATCTTGTTTAGGAGTTGTATGCCTTTATTTACTCTTTGCTTGACTGCTTCCTCCTACTTGCCTATCCTGCCTCCCTCAGCCCTCTATTTCCCAAAACTGTTGTCATTAACTCTGTTGGATCAACTCTCTGGGAAAAGATTCTGTTAATGTAAGTGCACTTACTCCCTGGATGTTGTCACTAGTCTAGTGGCTTTTGCTAAATAAACCTTTCATATTTCTAAAAACTTGTCTTTTCTTGCTGCTTCTATTTCACTTGCTCCTTCTGTCCCTCTCTCCTCCACTCAGTTTCCAAGCCAGGCGGCATCAGCTCTGTGACATGGTTCCCAAAGGTATGGGGTTTAGGAAAAATTCAGTCTCCTGAAGGAGTGGGGGGCGGTGGTGTCCTCTGTTGCAGTTTATATAGAACACCACTAGTCTTAACTGGGAATAATTTGCTCACCAGGGGACATTTGACAAATGTCTGGAAACATTGTTAGCCACGCTAGGGGAAGGATGTTCCTGGCAGGTAGTGGGTGGAAATCAAGGTGAATATCCTGAATATCCTGTGGTACATAGGAGAGAGAGCCCCCTGCAATGAAGAGTTACACTGTGTGGGTGGAAGTGGAGTTGAGTCTCATTTTTGCAGTCCTAGGGGTTAAGCCCAGGCCTCATGTATGCTAGGCAAGTGCTATACCACTTATCCTCAGCCCTTTTTAAACTTTGAGACAGGGTGTCTCTTAAGTTGCCCAGGCTGGCCCTGAACTTATGATCCTCCTGCCACAGCCTCCCCAGTAGCTGGGGTTACAAATGTGTGCCACCATGTCTGGCAAAAGCAGAGCTTTGAATGCATGAAGAATTACTATATCAGATAGTTTCCAATATAGCTAAGATCAAGATTATACAATTTCACTGACCCGCTCACTAAATGTCTGAGGTATGTAGTTGGTAGGAGTCTGAATGGGCCCATACAAGGAGGAAAACAGATTCCTCTCCATAGCTACCTGGAAGTATTATGGCTTCATTGCCACACAGTTCTGTAGAGCAGTCCTGACTCCTGGGAAAGTGAGCTCTCCTGCATGCAGCAGAAATGAAAAGGAGGCACAAAACTGGGGAAGGAAGGAGCATATCAGAAGTGAGCCCCAGAGGCTGGGGTTGTGGCTCAGCGGTAGAGCACTTGCCTAGCATGTGCAAGGCCCTGGGTTAGATCCACAGCACCACATAAAAATAAATAAACAAAATAAAAGTATTGTGTACAACTAAAAAATAAATATTAAAAACAAAAGAAGTGAGCCCCAGAATCTCACATAACAGCCTTCCCCTTTCTCATTTCTAAGCTCTTTGGCTGGAAAATTTAACCATTTTGAAGGCAGAGTGTTTGTTAGGTCTGATGTTCTGGCAGGTCCAGGCCAGGGGGAAAATGGGGAAGGTCAGAAAAACCAGGTTCACACGCCCTCTGTTCTTTTTTGGCTGAGCAAAATGAACTAAGCTTTATTTTCTCATCTGTCAAATGGGTTAGTACATAAAACAATTATCAGAGTAAATGAGATTGTATTTTTAAAGCACCCAGCCAAGGATGTAGCTCAGTGGCAGAGCACTTGTCTGGCATGGGCAAGGCCCTGGGTTCAATCCTCAATATTGCTAAGTGATTGAATTAATAAATAAATAAAAGCTAAAGCACCCACCAGGGAGTGCCTGGCAGTCACCCAGGGTACAGTACAGTTTATCTTTTAGTTTCCTAGATCTGAACCTGTGCTGGTCATAGACCACTTTTCTTTTCTTGACTATTTGGTGCTGTGATGCAGAAGCCCTGGAGGAGGAAGCATGAGGTTGGCAGAGGGCAGAAGATTAGGAACCAGTTCCTTTCCTGGTCCAAATAATGGTGAGACTGTGAATGGCCTCCTGGTCCCCTGAATGTGCTTCTCTCTGTACTTGCTAAGGAGTCCCATATCAAGGGGTGACACACATGCACAGCTACTTATGTACAGAAATCTTCTAGGGCTCAAGTGGCTTTTCTAGTTAGAAACACAAGCTCAGAGTGAGGACTAAAACAATTTTCGTAGTCACTCATCTGGTCCCTAAGGGGCCAGTGTCTTGGGAATGATGTCAAGATTGCCTAGAGACCACTCCGCCCCACTGTGGACAGGTCATGACCCCACAGGTCCTGGCTCCTGAACCTGACAGGAAGACTCCAGACTCTGACTGGGCAGGGTGGGGATAGAACAGGTGAGAAGTAGGAGTGACAGGTGTGGGCCCTGGGGTGGTCTCACAGCATATGAAGCAATAGGAATTTGAGCCCAGCTTCTCTTACTCTGTGAGGAATGAAAAAAACATAGTTGATACTTCAGCAGCACAGTGATAAGCAGGAGCAGCTTTGTTAAAACATAAAGTAAGGCCCCAAGAAGAGGTACTGGGTATTCTCTGCAAGGACAAGGGAGGACTCTCCACACCACCCCCTGGCCCATTTGTTGGGGAGACAAAGACTAAGGAAGATTGGTGCCAGATCCCTGACCAGAAATGTCCCATTATAGTTAGAAGCCCACAGAATCATCAAGGAACTGAAATAAGAGGAAAATAAGACCTGGGGGGATGTGGGGGGACCAGCAAGCATTTAGCCTTTTTTTTTTTTCTTTGAGTCGCATAATGAGCAAAATAAATGTTCTTGCTTGCATCCATGATGCTCTTCTATCTTTCTGGGTCAGATTAGCAGTAAGGTCATGCAGAAATGGAGTAAAGAGTCAGGACTGTCATTGGACACATTCATTGGTATTGGGGGAACAGTATTTTCTCCTTTACCTGCCATTTTTGGTTGCTGGTTTGGTTTGTTTTGCCTTACTAGAAATTAAACCAAAGTACACTCTACCACTGAGCTTTAGCCCCAATCCTTTTTATATTTTTATTTTTTATCTTTTGACACAGAATCTGGTCTCTCTAAATTGCCCAGGCTGGCCTCTAACTTGGCAATCCTCCTGCCTCAGTTCCCCCAGTTGCTGGGATTACAGGCATGTACTATGACTCCCAGTTTTCCTGCCCCTTTTGATATGATTCAAAATAGCAATGAAAAGATGTACCCAGGGTCAAGGTGCCTCTATTCTTCAGCAAGAGGTGCCCATTCTAAGTGAATGATTGTGGTGAATATTTTGAGGACGGGCCTGGCCTTCTTCATCTCTTTCTGCATTAATTAAGCTCAGGAGTGTTTTATCCCACCCCCTCAGAAGATCTAACATCTAGGAAGCCTGTCAAACTGCAGGGATTCTTCCCCTGCAGACAGGGGAGGATGCCCAAATTCTCCTCCCCAGTATAGAGCAAGGACTGATCTTTTAGGACCAGAAGTCCGGGATCCTAGAACAGAGGTTCTCATGTCTGACCTGCTTTAGTGTCACCTAGAAGACTGGTTAAGGGTGGCTAAGCTCCCACCCTAAAGTTTCTAACACGAGTAGGTCTGAGTGGAGCCTGAGAATTTTGTTTCTAACAAATTCCCAGGGGATGCTAAAACTGTTGTCTTGGAGCCTTTCCCTTAGAGAACCACTGTCTTGGAGGATAGACCCAAACTTCAGGAATTGTCTTTATTTAAAAGGAGCGGGAAGGGCAGGCTGAGAAATGGGCCTCGTGCTGTTAGGCAACCATTAGAAGAAGGGGTGAGGACTGACTGTACTGGGATGGACTACAGGGTGACCTCAGACTTGACAGAAGACTGTGGCTAACTTTGATTTATTGGCATCTCACTAGAGACATAAATAGGCTTTGTCCCCTATGAACCTGAGGTGTCTAGACAGGCTACTTGAAAGCCTGACAGCTCCCTGAGGAGAGCCTGTCCCCCTGCCGGGCCTTCTGCTCCTTGCCCCAGAGGGTTTTGAGCTTACGGTAGTACACCTTGCAGCTGAAGCCCTCTTTGAAGCCCCCCTTTATGTGGCTCTTGAGGGAGTGGAGGGTAGGATACATGCGGCAACAGGCTGCACACTTGTAGCCATTTTGCTGGGCCGGCTGCCACCTGGAGACCATTAGGATGTCCTGGGACGTGATGTAGTCCGCGGAGTCCAAGCCATGCCTGGATTTCTTGGTGGACTCTCGGGGGCATGTATTTTCTGGGGAGGAAGATGATGAGCAGATGCTCTCAGCCATGTCCTCAGGAAGGCAGTTGTCCCCCCTGCCCTCATCCCTCTCCACCTCTGGGAAGCCATAGGCCTCCAGGTGGCTCTCTTTATCCGTGCACACAAAGTAACTGTAAGGGGAGAACCAGGGCCGGTAGATGGTGCAGTTCCGCCTTAGCTGCTCCCCATTCTGGGTGTCCCCCAAGGTGCAGTCTGCAAAGGAAAGGGCTGAGTCTGAGCCTTGGGCTGCAGGCAGGGGGACAGTCAAGTTGAGGAGGCTGGAAGCCCTCAGGAGAAGCAGCAAGGCAAGATGACAGGCCGTCAGACATGACCTTGGGTGACTTCCATTCTACCTTGATGGCAGCTTGAGACCAGGTGGGAAACAGGGTGGGAAGAGCAGTGTAAGGGGATTTTTTCCTGCTGCTTTTTTTTTTTTTTCCTGTTGTTACAAATGGCTATTGGATGTCCAGGCACTAAACTAAGCCTTGCTATCCGATCCTTCTCTCCCGGAGATACTTTGTCCTCTGAGGACTGACCTCGACAGGCAGCCCAGCAGATAGTTAAGCTGGACTTTAACCTCCTGTAGTCCCTTCTTTTGCCACCTCTTCTTGTGAGCATTTTAACAGACTCACTGCCTGTCTTGATCCCTCAACAACTCACTCAGACAGAAACTGATCCACACCAACTTGAGAGTTGGAGAGAAGAAGCAAGAGGCCTCCATAGGCCTATGGGTATCTATCAAAGAGGAAGGAACAGATAGAAGGTAGCACATGGTGATCCAGCTTGCAGACATCCTTCCCTTAGGGGAGCAGCCCCTGTCCGTCTTCAGTTTCCCACATGCCCCCACCCAGAGTTAGAGAAGACCTCACCTGGTGCAGGCACTGTGTTATGTACCCCATGCCGGAGAGCACTGCTTTGATACTGGGATGGCAAGGCCTGAGCTGAGCTGGAAACCTCAGTGGGTACCGCTGCCTTTGTAATATCTGGGTTATAGAAGAAACACTCTGGTGAGCTGAGCAAGGTTGGGAGCCTTCTTCTTGAGTCTCCCCAAGACATACCTATGGTACATCAAGGGATCTCAAAGCTGAAGTCAAACAGTGATCTCTCAAACCCCAAAAGGCATAGCTATTCTGGATGACATCTTGGGAAATTCCAAATGGGAAAGTTTTATTCAAACCTAAGAAAGATCCTCTGGAAAGAATACATTAAGAGCTGGACACAGTGGTGTACACCTGTAATCCCAGCAACTCGGGAGGCTGAGGCAGGGGAATGGTGAGCTTAAGGCCAGCCTGGGCAACTTAGTGAAACCATGTCTCAAAATAAAAACTAAAAAGGGGTGAGGGATGTGGCTCAGTAGTAGAGTGTCTCTGGTTCAATCCCTAGTACTTCAAGAAAAAAATTTTTTAAAAAAGATGTGGCTCAGATGACACTTCTCTCTCTGGCTCGTCCTGCCCTGTACCTGACCCCACTGTAGTTTATCAGAGAGTGAGCTCTGGTCACAGGCTACATAGCTGTGTTGCATAGTCCCGTTGAGGATGGGAAGCCAGGTTCTTTGGTTGAGACATCTCATGCCCACAGCCAGGGTGGGGTCACATGGGCCTCTGCTGCATGGCATGCATTGGAATGGCTACTAACACTTGGACAAAAAGTGGATCTGCCCCAAATCCTAGAGCAGTAACTGTGCTCAGTTTGGGTGAAAGATTTATAAATGTCATGTATATTAATGGATATTTAGGAGAACTAATCAAGTTTGTCTCAAATTTTTATGTGCTTGGGAACCACCTGGATATCTTGTTAAAAATGCAGATTCTGATGCTGATGTAGTCGGTCAGGGGTGGGGGCCTGAGCTCTACCTTTCTTCCTTTGCAGTACTCAGATGGAACCCAGGGGTGCTCTAACACTGCCATCCCCAGTCCTTTCTTTTATTTTCTCCCCTACCCCTATTTTCTTTTCTTACTTTTTTGAAACAGGGTCTCATTAAATGGCTCAGGATGATCTCAAATTTGTGATCCTCAGTTACGGAGATAACAGGCATGCACCATCATGCCTGGCCAGTTCTGCATTTGCAATGGGCTCCTGTGTGATGTTGCTAATGTAGGACTGGGACCTACACTTTGAATAGCAAGTCCTCACAGTGTCCATCTTTATTCCATGATGGGCTTATCAGTTCCCAGCTGCTTAGCCTCCACCTGATGATAGATATGTCTCAATCTTCTCCAGCTTCTTAAATCAGTCAAAACAAATACCTGTTCTTTGTGTAGACAGCTCACCACCTTGAAATTCACTCAGGTTCTAGGGGAAAAATTAGATAACAAGTGTTTCCCCTATTCTTTCCTGATGAAAAAATCATTAAACAGCAGGAATTACTTTTACCTGGAATGTAGCATTTTGAAAAAATGATTTTCTTCTCAGTGTAATTTGGCTTTCTTGCTAAATTTTGGTCCTGTGACATGACCTGGTAGGGTACTTAAGTAAAAGCTTCCTAAAAACCCTACATCTTTGCGGCCCTAGTGACACTAAAGTTTACCTGGTAAACTGGTGGCATGTGAGGGTGTAATGTCAGGAAAAGTGCTCAAGGCAGAGGAAGAGATTCGAAGTCCAGAGATGCTGAGGAGTGAGAAGTTTTCCATATTTTGACCACTGCGGGGTATGACGATCACACGCCTGCTCCCAAGAGGCTGGCCAGGTTGTCCAGACGATAAACATTCTGAGCACAGTTGACATCACAAGGTCACATGATTCCATTCACCAGCTAGGTTATACTTCTGAAAGGTGGATGCAGTCTGTTGTAAGCGAGATTCTTTTTTCTTTTTCCTTTTAATTGCTAAAAAATTTTTACTTGTCATTTCTCTGTGCCCTGCCCTGGCTGAGAATACTCAGAGAGAAGGAAGAATACAGTGGAGATATCATAATGATGTCCTCTGTTTGTCCCCTTTGTTCTTTACTATTGTCCCTTTTCTCTGTTGATTTTGCTATACTCCCCAGCTCTGGGAACCTTTGTTCTCTCTGAATAACTGTCTTGCTTTTCTTCTCCTTTATTTGCCACTGAATATTTTTGTTTCTTCTTTTATCTTTTTGTTTTAGTTTCTGGTTTTTTGGTCTCCATTTTATTTATTGGTTTGTTCATTTGTTTTGGTTTGAGGAATATATTGAATTTTTTTTGAAATAACTTCAAATTTATATAATTTTTAAAGTCAAAATTGATATAAAGAGCATCTATAGATCCTCTCTAGAGATTTTTCTCTTGCTAACATTTGGCCCTATTTGGTTTATCTTTTCCCTCCCTCATCTTCCCCTCCCTACCTATGTATGTGTACACATAATTTTTTTTTCTGGAGTATTTGAAGGTAAGTTGTGAACATTATGTCCTTTTATACCTAAATACTTTAATGTATTTTTATCCAAAGAATAGCTATTAGACATTGTTTGAATGATTGGTGCTCTTTTCTGAATGTGACTAAAACACAAATGGACACCATTTTGTTCATTGTTTTAAGCCAATTTGCTGGTGAGACTATAGGTTCCAAGGAGGCAGGGCTGTCTCTTCTCTCTGCTTTGATTTATCATTTAATAACTTTGTGTACTGGTGGGATGTGGAGTAAGTTTGAAAGATGACTGTGAGACCTTGAAGATAAGCTGAAGTTACCCCATTCCATATTGTCACAACCTGTCCACTAGCTACTTAGCTGTGCTTTAAATCAGCTCCTGTCACAGTGGTGTGGCCAATGAAGGAACATGGCACCTTCAAATTCTGCATGGAGCCCAGATGGTCTTTTCATCTCTGAACGTTTGAAGGGCAGTGGGAGAATCTGGTTTTCTTTAATGTTTTTTACCTCCTGGCCTGATTTGGAATTTTAGAACACATTGGGATACAAATTGAAGTTGAGTATTTTGGCATTTTTGAGACACTAGTAATTTCACTTGGGCCATCATGGTGTAAAGCAAGATCATGAGTTTATAAATTGGTATACATGACTCATAATCCCCTCCTCCATCAGCTACCTGGGTGATAGTGTACAAATGCACTGCTGCTTGACTTTTCCATTTTATTAATTTAGACTCTGAGTTGAAGTGGATGAATGTCTTTCTGGCTAAAGTCTAGCAATTTACATACGTGTAAATAAATGTAAATAGCATCATGTGAATGATGTGTTTCACACCCAGACATAGAATTTCTTTCTGCCTTAACCAATCACATTTCTCTCACTATCAATTAGGAACTGGAGATATACTTAATGTAAAGGGTGCTCAAAATATTGGGGAGGGGAAACTTGGGAAGTTAAATACCTCAGTGCTGTTGGTAGAGTTTTTAAAATATGGCTCTGTTTTGGCTTAGTTATTAAAGTGTCTGTGGGAATGTGGTCATTTTAGGGTTTATTACACTGCTAGTAGCAGGTCCTCTGTCTTGCATGTGCTGTTGATGGTGACCCATACAGCAGGTGACACCCTCAAAGTAGCTGGTCACTACGTAAAATGTGTCTTTCTCTCATTTGTTTCCCACCTGCTTTCCGAGCCCCTTTCTCGGACAGGTAAGATACTCTCTTTCTTGTGGATGACTTATGTCCCCAGATGCCCTCCTCAGCTTGGGTATATGCATGTTGGGGGTTGCTATTGGGAGGGCCACCAGCTGGGATTCTATTGTCTCTTCCTTCCATCACCATTATGTTCAGAATCACCAAACCTCTTGTCCTGAGGCAGGAGGGACAGAGTTGCAGGGGTCATTAGAGTCATCAGCAGAAAAGAGGCTGATTGCACATCCCTCAGTTGTGGAGATGGAGGCCCCAGGCAAGCTCACTTGGAAAGAAGGACAGTTTCTCCTGGTCTGACTTCAAGAACCCTCACAGTGACTTTATAGAGGAGTTTCTGGGTGGTTTTTATAAGTGGAAACAGACTTATGAGCAGTTTCCATGTACTGTCAGCTCATCATGCACTTGGTTTTTAAGAATTAATTTAAAAGTCAACATCAATTAAACTACCATTAAATGCCTCCTATCACACAAGGCCCTAAGCCAGGCATTGCAGAAAATGAAAAGTGCTAAAGATACCATAGCCCCACGAAGAACTTACCATTTTATTTTAAAGACAGGTATATTTACCAGAGAGATATAGACAATTGTAAAGAGAGTCTATGACAGGTTATTTTTAAATCACTTAGGAATTCAGTTTTTTTTGGTAGACTAGATTTTGAAGGGTAGAGAACAAGAAAGGGGATCCAAATGGTGCCTAATCAAAAAGTTATTTGCTTGTTATAAAGAAATATGTTTTTAAAATAATAATAGCAATTGATACATACTTTACTCATAATTCATAGTTTACAAATCACTCTGACAGGAGGTTTTCGTACTTAAAAAAAATAAATAAATGTGTCTTCACTGGAATTTATTTTAAATCAAAAGGAAACCACCACAGAAAGTTCTGATCCTGGAAATGGTGCAGGGCCCGGAAATGGTGGAGGGCTTACTTTTCCCAGTGTGTTCCACCGAAGCATTTTGTTATGATTCCATAGTGACCCATATATTTTCTGGTTTGGAAAACAATAAATTGTTTAGTTTCCAAATAATCCTTGCTACTTGGCAGAGTACAGGAGTAAGGGAAATGAGAGGGATTTGAGGCACGACAGGTGGATTGTGGTTATTCTCTGTAACCAGGAGTCAAGGGCCCAGCTTGTTGTGGGGTGAGTGGGTATCCTGCTGCTGTGGCAGGTACACACAGACAGCTTGGGCCCTCCATCCCAGGGATGCCATAATCCAAGTTCCCTGGCATGTCCCCTACCCACCACGGTGCTTTCACTTGCACGTACGTCAAGGGCAGTTACAGAGGCCAAGACCATGGGGCTCACATCCTCAGGGAAAGGCCTCCACCCCTCTTCCCATGGCTTTCTCCCTGCCACCCAAAGTCCCTTGGAATATGGCTTATCCAGATAGTTGGCCCTGCTGAAACCTCAAGAAAGAGAAATGTTCCCCCTGACCCAGGACTCCGTAGTACACAGGCAGAGAGAGAACTGCTTCAAGCCCATCTCCAACTGAAGCAAAACTACACTCAAACCTCAGTTATTATCAGGAAAGGCTTCATGGAGGTGTTAACAAGGAGAGTAGCTCTTGGACCAAATGGAACCTGTTCTTCTCCCAGACTGACAAAATATCTGGGGCAATTGACATGGACAACTCAGGTCCCTATTTCAGGGCTCCAGAGAAGGTCTGGCTGCCTTGACTACTGAGGTGGTTTTTTTGAGGTATGGAGAGGATGCCTAAGTGCCAGTGTATGGATAGCCTGGCCTAGAGCCTGAAGGTCCAGCCCTTTCAACAACAAACCTTGGGGCTACCATTTGGCCTTCCAAATTCTCCATCTACAAAATGGATTTTAGAAATTCAATTAAAAAATATTTATTGAGTACAAACTATATACTAGACCCAGTCTAGGCATTGAAGACAAAGATGGATGCTGCATGGCCTCTGTCCTGCAAAAGTTCACAATGCAGTGGGTCTATACCCAGTCCTTCTAGTTCATTGTTCAAGCCAAAGGGAGATCCCCAAGAGAAGGGCCATCTACTAGATATATGTAGGCAGCTGTTCCAAGTTCCAAGGCAGGAGAAAGAGCCCTGAGCTCTGAGTTACAAGTTCTAGTTGTAATCTTGGGCCCTGCCGTTCATTATGAACTGAGCCCCTCCCTCATTTATAAATAGATATCTTCCCATGTTCCCCACATTACACTGTAAGAATTGAGGTGGGGTTTATAAGGATCCTTGAGCTTTACTGCCACTGAGTACCTGTCCCTTTGGTGTGAGCTGGTTCTGATCCACTACTTGACCTCTCTGCTCAGGAGCTGACCTAGTCTTCCAAGACCTAAGGAACTGCTGGCCCATTTTCCGTGGAGAAAATGTGCTAAACATGTGGCTTTCGAAGGGAACTTCCAGCACCAAGCCTCATACTTGCCATCCCTCCACCGGCTTCCGTCCCAGCACCTGAGTCAGAGAGCTCAGCATGTGTTTGTGGCAACGTAAACATGTCACATTTTGTTGCTTCATTCTCATTTTTTTGTTCACTTCAAAGGGCCTGGTGACCCCCAAGGTAGAGGGATCAAACCTTGAGTCAAAGAGGTCTATTTAAAGGAATGTTTGCCTTTTTATGGCTAATGAGTCACTGATTAACTTGGGTAGGACAGAACTGGAATTTCTGGTCCTAGGTCCCATCAAGAAAACTGTACTGGAAAGTCCAAGAGCATCTTTGCTGGCTATTTCTTGTATGTTTCTGAAGCCTTATGGAGTTACAAGTTTGGGGCCTGGTATAAAGCAAGTAAAAGCCCAGTGGTATGGTCCTGCTCATGTCTACTCATCAATTTCTTTCTCCCCTGTTTGTTCCTAGTTGACCACAGCATGTTTGAGAATTTGAACACAGCCCTCACTCCGAAGCTCCAGTCGAGCCGTTCCTTCCCCCACCTGTCCAGACCTGTGGCCCCCAGCTCTGCCACCCTTGGCTCTTCAGAGCCTGGTGGGCCAGGAGTGAGGGTGGGGAGCAGCCAGCACCTCAAGAACCTAGGCAAAGCCGTGGGGGCCAAAGTCAACGACCTCCTGAGGAGAAAGGAGCCCTCAGGCCTCAGCAGCGTGGGTGTGACGGAGATCAACAAGACTGCGGGGGCTCAGCTGGCTGGTGGGGCTGATGGGACATCAGGGGCCTGGCTAGAGGATGAAAGGTGAGTCCCTCCACCTGCCCAGTAGTCCACTTGAATGGGTGGGGACAAGGACAGACTGCAGTGTGTCAGGGGAGAACAGCACTGAGGAAGGGATATGAAATTGTCAAAAGCTGGACGGGGCCATGTTCATGGGAACTGGCCTCTGCCTCCACACGTATAAGGAATGCTTATTGAGCAGCCATGGTGTCCTCAAGCACTAAATATGCAGACTTTACAGCATCGTTCTACCTAACCCTCGCAGAACTCAGGGAGGCAGGGTAGGTTTTCACTTTGCCAATGACTTGAGTTCAGAATGGTCAAGTGAGTAGCTGGTTAGTTAGTACCTGGCAGAGGTAGATTTGAACCCAAGTATTACCCAGCACCTTCCCAGATGGATCCTGATGCCTGAGAACAATAGGAAAGGAGAAGCCCCCTGTGGCACTCCCATCTTCTACTCTAACCAAGAGGTCCTTTCGGGTCCGGTTTTACATGGATTCATTTGTTTGTTTATTTATTTATATTTCTTACTGGGTACAGCACCCAGAGGTACTCTCCTAATGAGTTACATCCCCAGCGCTTTTTATGTTTTATTTTGAGACAGGGTCTCACTGCATTACTCAGGCTAGCCTCAAACTTGCCATCCTCTTGCCTCAGCTTCTCAAGTAGATAACATTACAGACGTGGACCACCACACCCACCCAGGCCTTGTTTTAAACATGGCTGCTTTGGAAGTAGTGATATACCCTTTATGGGGCTTATTGTGTAGGTTTTTGTGCTGCTCTGAACACTGAATAAGGATAAAACAGGCCAAAAGCTCATTGTTGTTTTGAAATTGCTAAGACCTGCACCCTGAACCCAAATTGGAGCCCAGGGGTGTGAAGCACTTATTCGCCCAAGGGATGAACTCACCCATGTGGGTGAGTTGAAGGTGAAGTTGGAGTTAGAGATGTGAGGGTAGGGTGGACTGCTATCTCACCATTTGTAAAGCATGCATATTTACTGTCATCAATCTTACAGATCAGTCCCTGAGGACTTCCCTCGCCTGGATCCTCCACCTCCCATAACCAGGAAGCGAACCCCTAGGGCCCTGAAGACCACCCAGGACATGCTGATATCATCACAGCCCGTCCTAAGTAGTCTGGAGTATGGGACAGAGCTGTCACCTGGGCAGCCCCAGGACTCCCCTCTCACTGTCCAACCTGTCTCAGCAGATGCTTCACAGCTGGAGGCCACCATGGAAGATAGGGACGAGGTTCTGCCCAATGGTGAAGTTTCCCTATCGGTTCCTGACCTAATTCACAAGGACAGCCAGGATGAATCTAAGTTAAAGGCAACTGAGCACAGAAGAGCCTCCTCCCCAGGCCTCGTTGAGAGGAATGGCCTCAAACTCAGCTTGAGCCCCATCAGCCTGGCCGAGTCCTGGGAGGACAGTAGCCCCCCTCCTCGAGCACGGACCTCCAGCCTTGACAATGAGGGCCCTCACCCAGACCTGCTGTCCTTTGAGTAGCCTGTGATCTTCCTGCCAAGCACCCCTCTTCCCTCTGCTTTCTCTTCCACTGTGCCCAGGGAGCCCTGGCCCTAGCTCTACCATGCCCTTTGGTCTTCCTTGTACAAGGCACCTGCAGAAAGCTGATCTCCACACCAGATGTTGCAGGGTTAAAAGTCCACAAGTAATTCTAGTCGAAGAGTCTATCTGCAGAATGGCAAAAGGACTCAGGTGCCATCCTTGATCCTAATTTCTGTAAGCTCCTCTGGGTGTTGATTGTAGCCCAGGGGTACTAGAGCTCTTTCACCCACAAGTTTGTTCCAGCTTCCTACTGAATTATAGGGCTACCAGCTCAGGATGATGGATCTTGCAGGACTTTTCTGTCTCCCATATGCTTCCTGCTCTTCCTTACCCAAGCCCTGGTTCCTCTCTCTCCTCCATCATGGCCCAGAGATCCTTATCTCAGGGGGCAACAAGGCTGGATGAGGAATGATGGGGTTGGCTTGATGATGGGGCCTGTCCTAGAAAGCCACACAACCTGACCATAGCCCAGCCGTGGTTCCTCCTGGTTCCAAGAGATTGCGGGGCCCCTGGTATCTTTCCTCTGTCCCAGGGGGCCAGAGGGGGTGCTTAACCTCTCACTCAAGGTTCTCAAGGTTTTTCCCATCCTTTAGGCACCTGGGAAAATGCTGGGGCTTCCTGCACAGAAATAACAGCCAGGCTTCCTTTGCTATGTGTGTGAAGACAGGGCTAGGCAGGCCCCAGAAGAAGAAGCAGCAGCAGAGCATGTTTTGATTTTGGTTTGAGAGGAGAACCGAGGAGAGTAAGGGTGGTCCTACTAGAAAGGAGAGCAGAGGTGGTAGATAAGGGAGTAAAGCCAAGATAGAGAAGAGTGTGGTTGGGGATCAGAGCAATTTTTCAAGGTCACCCCACAGCCTAGAATGAAGCAGTGCCAGGGTCTCGGTAAGTGTGAGAGCCAGGGTGAAGCATGTGAGAGATTGGGATGCGATCCAAACTGTGGAGGCAAACCTCCTATTAAACCCAAGGTGCTTTGTGCTTTTGAAGTTGCCTGAGTCTCCTGCAGCACCAGGCCTCCCTGGAGGGGCCTCTGACCTGCCCTTCCCTAGTTCTACCCTGATGCCAGGGATGGTCCTCTGCTCCCTCCTTCTGGATCCGTCTAAGGAACAGATAAGTATCCTCAAACCTTCACTTGTTCCTATCCTCCTGGGTTAACCCACTTTTGTATTCCTGTCTCCCACCAGGGGACCTATTGTACTTTCTTCCAAGGGCCAGGAGACCCTGCAGCGAGCTCAGTCTTGGGGGTCTTTGCAGCAAGAAGATAATATCTCTCTCTTTCTCTCTCTTTTTTTGTTTTTTAACAAGGCGAACCTATCTAAAGAGAAGAATGGGAATGGTAGGTCCAGCCAGGGCAGTCTGTGCCTCAGGCCTCTTCCTATCATTCCTGTGCCCTTCCCTTTTCCTTTCATTGTTTGACTTCTCACTCATGAGCTCTGGGATACCTAGGCCTGGCTTCCCAGTTGATTATCACCAAGCCTCTGCTCCTCTTCCTATCACCATATAATACATCCATGTTAACTCCTACAGAACTGGAAGCTTCAGTGGGATTGCTGGATGTAAGCACATTCTTGTTTCTACAATTGTACAGCCTTGCCTCCACCCTCTCACACCCTTCTCTTCTGCCTTCTTTTGCCCCAGAAAGCAAGGCTTTGCAACATACTTCCTGCAAAGTCCTTTTCCTTCCCTGCTTATGAGGGTCCGTGCAGCTGAGTGCCTGCAAGGACGCGGTGGAGTGAGCAGGGCTGTTAGCACACATGAAGGCCCTGCCTTACCCTCAGAACACCTTGGAAGTCAGAAATCCTCAGGAACTAGCATTTGGTTTCCTGTGAGTTTTCCTAAAATGGTTCATAACATCAACCAAAACAGAACGGGGAACGTGGGGGCAGAGACTCTAAACACACACCAGGGAGTAAGCCCAGATTCATCTGAGCTCTCTGTGCAGGAAGCTTGGTTTGCCCCTCTGACAGGAAACTCAGCAAGTGCCTGCAGTCTGGAGCTGCTGCCCTCCAGGGATCGAGTAATGTGGTAACTGTAGTACAAACAGTTCCAGCCCCCACTTGCTTAAGTACTTGTCTCCACTCCAGCTGCTGCTGGAGTCCTGGCCCTCAGACCCAGGATTAGCTACGGGATCCCACCAGGTTGTTCCAGGACCATCACAGGCTTCTTCGGATTTATGTCTGATACTGAGTAAGGTGCCATGGGACCCTGTGCCAATCCCTGGCTGCCTACAGCTCAGCCATTTCCCTGCTCTAGGGGTGACACTGCTACCTAGGAGGCCCTCAAAGATTAAACCTTGTCTTAGACATGGTTGCTCCGGGCTAGGTGTTATCTAGAACCGGTAGGAACAACTTAACTACTAATCCTGCTGAGGGTTTTTTCTCTGGCCAACTCTTCCAGCCAAAGCCCCTCCTGATTTCCTGTCCATCTCCAGTCTTCAGTCACTTTCCTAGATTATAGCATGGCAGCCCCACTACCATAAATCTGTCCTCGTGAGTCCAGTGGAGCTTGGCTTAGGGCAGCCCAGTTCACCCTGTGAGGGCAAGGTACTGGGGAGGAATGAAGGGCTGTCTTCTATATTTGCAAAAGGAAGTTTCTCCTCAGTTCTGTTTATAACTTCATCCTGATCACAAATGAGCTTCCCAAACCTGGCAGGATGGTGTTCCCCTCCTGCACAAAGAGAAACATCTCTGAATATTATGTATGTAGACGACATGAAGACATATGTTCATAGCCCATCCACTTTGAAAAAAAGTTTGGCCCTAGTTTGGAAGAGGAAGAAGATTATAGATCTATTCTGAGTATTTTTAGAGAGTTCATATTTATATTTTTAGAAATTTTTCTGGTAGAAGGAAATTGCACAATAAAAGAATTCAGTTTGGTTTGCTGGTTTTGTTTTTTGCCTCTTGACTAATGGGGAGTAGTGGGTTCCAGGAGGCCGACTAGTCAGGTGGAGAACATTGGCACTTTGTTTTATGAGACTAAAAGAGTAAGGAATACAGAAATGACCCTTGGGCGGGACAATTTCTCAGGATATGCCATCATCTGTGTCCATGACTGGCTGGCTACTATGAATGTCCAGACACATGACTGCTTCCAGGGCATCTGCATGATGCATATGGGTAAGTCCCTCCTTGAGAGGAAGCTGGAAAGAAATGCAAATGACCATAAGATCATTCTCCAGGTCACTGGTTCTCAATCTAGGGTCCACACCCTACTTCTAACCAAGAATGGGCTGAAGAGTGTATGTGAGGAGTCATCAGTAAATGTCAGCAAAATACCCAGAGCTGTGAACTTAGGCACTTCAGGAAATTGCTCTGGAGGGTTCTCTGGACTGGGACTGCCTTGGTGTTGACCTATGGAGAGAATGTGGCTTGGACAAGAGGTGGTCTAAGCCCCTTCATTTCATCTCCACACCTCAGCCTGAGTCAGATCCAAGGACCCAGAGACTTCACACTGGAGAACTGGCCAGGACTTTAGATTTCTTAAAAGGAAGAAAGTGGAAAAGAAGCAGGAGTAGAAAGGGGTTTTAGTCTGTTCGCAGAAGCCACAGATATTTCCAAAGACAAAAAGATGGGTATTTCTGCCCTGCCATCTCATTTTCTGCCATGACATTGCTATGAGTTGAATCCTACAGTTCAGCCTAAAGTGTGTGGGGGGGTCCCCCTTGTCAGGAGTGTCTGTAGCATAAAAACTGTACCTGGTCTTTCTGCATCCAATTCTACTCCTATGCCTTGTTTCTTAGAGGAGGTACAAGAGAGAAAAAAAAAATGGGCTTTCCAAACTCAACTTCTTGACAGTAGGCTCCAGCATACAGTTCAGAGAAAACAGGAGTAACACAAAAACCAATCCAGCATATTCCATCCATGGAAAAGGCACTGAAAATCCTTACAATAGCAACGTTTTTCCTAGAGCATGTGTTCCAGTGATAATTCTTTAGGTGACCTCTTCAATTCTACTCCTAAACCTTGTGTCTTAGAGGTTTTTGGGATTTAGTTCTGTGTTAACTCAGGTGTGGAATGTACTTTTAGCATGCCTTCCTTTCCCTCCATTATGGAAAGTTATTTTTGGCTAAGGTCACATATGCATAATTAGGAAAAAAATAATATTTAAAGGAAAATTTTAAGTATAAAAATGAATGTGAATATGCCAGGTACTGCCGTGCCTGCCTGTAATCCCAGAGACTCAGGAGGCTGAGGTAGGAGGATAGTCAGTTCAAAGCCAGCCTCAGCGATAGTGAGGTGCTAAGCAACTCAGTGAGACCCTGTCTCTAAATAAAATATGAAATAAGACTGGGGATGTGGCTCAGTGGTTTTTATTTTTTGCCCTAGTACCAACAACAACAAAAAAATGTTGTCAGTGCTATGCTCTAAGCTGATCTAGAAGCTGGGAAACAAAGATGCATTTATTCAAACAGTTTATCCAAGCCCAAATATTGTCCAGGACCCTGCAGTGTCATTGGTGGGAACTAATAGTAAATGACTTCTTACCTCTCCTGGAAAACTTCCTAAGTGCACATGGCATTTAATGTCTTTCATCTCCCAAGGAAGTCCACTCTGGAAGCTTCAAGTTGTCCAGTGGAAGCATCATGGAGCACTTTACCCCTCTAGGATGCCCTTCTCCCTGTTTCCATTTTCTCTGGGGGCATGTGATGAAAGCCCCAAGTGCCCACCACTAACTTCCTACTAATGAGAAAATTCCTCTGCTTTCTGTATCCAAGGACCGACCCTCCTGAGACACAAATCCTCTTTGTGTCCAGCTTATCTCCAGCTGCTGCCATGATAAATAGTCTGGCTCAAGGGAGCCTGGGTACATTCTACCCCCATGAAACTTGGTTATTAACACAGACGGGGAAACAAGCTTGAAGAAATATTTAAGGACCAACTCACACACACCGGGCTCCATTCTCTCTCATGGGAGCTGCCTGAGGAATCTGTCAATTATATAAAGCAGGAAATTTTGCCAGTGTTTTTCCTTTGTAATAGATTAAAAAAAGAAAGAAAGAAAACGAAAACCCAAACAAAAAGCAAGCTTCTAACAAACTGTACCCTGTTTTTTTTTTTCTTGTTTTTTTTTTTAAACTGTGTTTTTAACTGTGTCATCTGTTCCTAGTACCATCTGCTCAGCTACCTTCTTTAAAGGATCCTTTCGTGTTTACCACCATGGTGTTTCATAGTGTTGTGTTCCTCTTGCGTGTGGTCTGATGTTTAAGCACATTCCATGTTGAGTCCACTTTATGGAACAACTCGTGACAATTCCCTGTAGTTTGGGGATTGGTTTGGATTGGTCCAGACTAACATGAGAAAGGGGAAGGGAGAAGCCTGGCCCTTTGAGATGGTGGGAAGTGAACCCCACCAGCCCTGGGAAGGGCTTTCTACTTCCACAAAGTGAATAGGCTCCCTCTTTATCCTGAGCCCACAATGGATGTACCTGCCTGCTAGACAGAAAGCTCAGAACAAGTTGGGACTCCCTGTCTTACATACCTCCTGGTAGGGTCAACTCTGTTCCAGTTAGCTTTCCTTGCTCAATTTCAATCCTGGGTCCTCTGCATCAAGAATTATCAACAAACCTGGCAAATGCTCTTTGGACCTGGCCAAAGCACAGCTTTTGTAGGAGCTGGGTCTTCTGGAGAGGCTGTCTCAGTCACCTGGGAAGTGACTTCATGGTCATTCAACACAGCTCGTGGGTAAGGCTGAGGTCACCTACCCTGCCCATGCCTCTCCCTCACCAATTGGTGCCTCTGTAGGTGGCATGCTTTGTGACCAAGAAGAGCATGGGTGAGGCATCAGATGGTTTCTCTGCTCCAGTGTCCCGGGACCCCAAACTGCTCAGAATTGTTTCAATGCCTTTGTTGAAAGCGGTCCATCTACCTGGGCCAGGCTTCCACCTTCCTTTCTCTTTCCTGTGACTTTGTCAGGCTGTGTTAATTTGTCCTTCAAATTTCAGCTTAGGCCTGCCTTTCTCCAAGGTCCCTTCCTGACCACGTGCCTCCAGCCCCTCTCCTCTACAATCCCATACAATTCCATGCATTTCTTCATTAAGGCACTTCCTATGTGTCATGGAAAGTAGGTTCCTCCTCATGTTTCTACCACAGTCTCTGAGCATCTTGGAGGGCAGGAGCTATACCATGTTCATCTCTTGACAATGTCTGTCAAGTCACTGGAACTTGATAAAGATGTGCTTAAACTGAACTAACCACAACGAACTGATAATTTGTGTAGCACAGGTAAGACTGTACTCACTAGCATTGGGGTGGACCAACATGACCTCCTCAGCCTGCCTTCCTCAGGGTTCCTACCCACAGGCAGCCTCTGTACCTGACCATCAACTGCACAAGAAGGGCCAAAGGAGGTCATTCGCAAAATGGCAAATGATTAACTGACCACTGTATAACTCATTTATCTTCAGCAAGAGCCTTAATTAATTCTGCACCATGGACAGTTTCCACCTTGCTATGGAGATGACAGAAGAAGGCACTTATGTCCAATTTAAGAAGTGTTGGACCTCAGTGCCAGGCACCTGCCCATCTCTTTTTGTACTGGGGATTGAACTCAGGGACAGGATATCCCTAAGTTGCCCAGACTGACCTTGAACTTGCAATCATCCTGCATTAGGCTCCTGAGCTGCTAGGATTGCAGGCATGCACCATGGTGCCTGGCCAAATACAGATAATATTTTACTATTTAAAGATATTCACCCATGATTTCATTAATTCTCTTGTCTTGTGAAGTAGGTAGTTCGGCCCCATTTTGTAGAGGAACTTTACAACTGGTAACAAATGACCTTAGAAGACCCAAGTTTGCAGACTGAGGAGCACTCACCTTCCCTACCATCACACAATTCTTCTCTGTTTCCATCACACCAGTCTCATAAAGAATTTCAGGAAATATTCATGGCCCAGAAACAGTATTTTGAGTTTGAGGTTCTTCAAGGATAAATACAATTTCATTGAAAACTGAATATTCATGTAGAATAAAAATTTAAAGACCCATTTCCCAACCCCCTTATTTTACAGAAGAGAAAACAAAGACTATATTTTAAAAAAAAGAAAAAAGTTAACCTGTAAGCCTAGCACAGTGACTCAGGCCAATAATCCCCCCTACTTGGGAGGCTGAGGCAGGAGGATTGCAAGTTTAAGTCCAGCCTAGACAACTTAGTGAGACAGTCTCAAAATAAAATTTTAAAAGAGGGCCGGGAATGTTGCTCCATGATAGAGCACCCTGTATTCGATCCCCGGTATGAGTTCACATGTGTTAGCCTCCTCTCATTGAATCCCCACTATATCCTATGCAGTAAGAGTCATTAGCCCCTTTTCTAGAGGGGAGAAATTTAATCAATTTTCCCATGGTCACTCTGCCAATAAGTGACAGAATTGAAAACAGTGCCTCCTGAAAACATTTATTCTTAAGGATTTTGGTAAAAAATCTACTCTGAATTGAAAGAATTTCTGCCTGAAGTTAAAGTGACAGGAATACCTGTCTTGTAATTTCAGGGAAGGCTGGCTTATATATACACTAATCTTGTTGTCGAAACTGGAGATTAAGTATTCAATTGGGAGGTGAAATACTGTTTGGAGAAAACCTGCCAAAGAATCTTTCAGGTTTCATTCAATACCATGGTTACTCAGCAGGGCTTTAAAAAATAAATAACAGCCCAACTGTTTTCTTGATGGCTGTCTGACCTCTTGTGGCTATATTTGGGAATTGCAATTTTTGGAGCTTCCACAAAAGGAAGATTTTCAAAACCAAAAATAGAGAAATAGTACTTTCCTTTTAACAAGGCTTGTATTTTTCTTGTGATCATTCAACAAATATTATGTGGAAGAAGAAATAAAAGAGAAAATACTTCTTTAATAACTTGACATTTTAGAAGGAGGAATAAAATAAGAGAAACAGGGTTTTTTTAAAAATAAAAAAATGACAATTCTCCTGAAAAAGGAGAATTGAAATCCTGAAAAAGGAATGGTGTAAGGAGTTTCCAAGAGAACAGAGAAGGAAAAACTTACAAACATTCCAGTGAAATTTAACATCATAAAGACAGACCATCTTTAATCCCAGTGACTGGGGAAGCTGAGTCAGGAGGATGGTAAGTTCAACGCCAGTCTCAGCAAAAGTGAGGCGCTAAGCAACTCAGTGAGTCCTTATCTCTAAATAAAATACAAAAATAGAGCTGGGGATGTGGCTCAGTGGCCAAATGCCCCTGAGTTCAATCCCAGGTACAAAAAAAAGAGAGAGAGAGAGAGTCAGAAGAATATTATGAATGCAATGTGCTTTGAAACATATAAGAATGGATTAATCGACTTAGTTTACTGTTATTTAAATGATAAAGAATCCAAAGAAGATAGATAATCATAATTAAAATATAACAGAAAATCAGATGGGATTGGTGGTGGAGACAGAAAGAAAATGAGAATATGCTAAATCATAGCAATTGATAGACTTAAAATATTGTAGAAAAAATAAACAAAGATACAGTTCTTAATAAGTTATGGGTAACCACCAAAATTGTCTTTTATTTTGAAGTAGAACTTTCAAATTAGCAGAGATAAATTTGATCCACTCAATGGATAGCAGAAAAAAAGAAAGGAAAAAATACAGTTAGAAAGAATGGAGTTATATAGTAGAAATAAATTCCAGTAGAATAAATTATAATATGCATATAAGTACATTGAGATCACTGATGGAAGGAATCTAATGTTGGTAAACACATAAACACACACACACAAAAAAAAACTAGATACTGAATACTGAAGTATTCTGTCTACAGAAGATAGAGTTAACAGGGTTGAAAATAAGGGTTGGAAAATTATATACTGGAAAAGTACAAATAAAAAGAAAGGATAGCAATTTTAATATGATGTAAAATATAATTGAAGACAAAAATCATGAGAGAAAAATACTTCTTTATAAATATTTTTTCCTTTGTATATGGAAATAGATCGAAATGAGAAAATAATTGTAAAAATATCTGCAGTTAAAAATATAACCCCAAACCAGTTAAAATAAAAAAGGCAGAATGATAAAGAAAAAGCAATATAATGATGATGATTATTAGAAAGTTAAATTCTATTACATGGTGAGTTAAAATGAAAATTTTTATTTCTGTTTGACTCTGATAGATCAAACATGAAAATTAAGCAAATTTATAAGAATATTTATTTTATATCACCTACAATATTTGATCCATCTAGGGGCAGAAGAGACTGAATTTTAAAATGAATAGAAAAAAAAAACAATTCCAATAAATGAAATATTCAGAAGTTGAAGTCGAACCTGTATCTAACCTTAATGCTATATAGTGTCACCAGCCGTCCATGGGCTGTGTGTGTGAGCTATTGTGCATCATAGCCATATGTGGGGATAGGCCTGGCATTGCAGGCTCCCTGTCAGGGAGTGATCGTATGATGCAGGTGAGCCTCCTCCTCAAGCTCTGCCTAAGATCCTATCCAGCATCTGAGATGGGTGTGACTTGCCAAGATGTCAATCAATCTGCTGACCACAAGACTTCATGAAGCAAGACTCCACCCTTGAAACCTTATCCGCTGCCTGATTTGAAGAACATTCTATTGAAACTCCTTTGTTAGTATAAAATAAAGAGATTCTGGGGTGCACCTTTCTTTCTAGCGTGGAAACTGACCTTAAGGTCACAGAGCCACCCTACCTTCCGTTTGAAAACTACTCTCTATGTCACGTGATTTCCCCCTATTTTCTTAGTTTAATGGTGCTGCCAGTTTGTCTCATCTACACTGGTCATTGGTGAGAATATAGTTTGAAATCTGTTCTAAAATGAAAACTAAAAAAAGATATATTTAGCCTGGTGCGGTGGTGCATGCCTATAATCCTAGGGGCTCCAGAGGTGGAGGGAAGAGAATCATAAGTTCAAAGTCAGCCTCAGCAACTTAGTGAAACCCTTTCTCAAAATAAAAAAGGCTAGGAATGTGGCTCAGTGGTTGAGCACCCCTAGGTTCAATCCTAGAGACCAATACTAAATACCAGTACCAATACCAATACTAGGTACACACACACACACACACACACACACACACACATATATATATATATACAATGTATTAATATATTAATTAAATATTAAATTATATATAAATTAATTAATGTGTGTTTAATGTATATGTGAAATTAATATGTAAATAATAAATAGAAAGTAAATAAATATATTTAATATATAAGTATATGAATCATATATATATAATACCATATATAGTTATAGTTATTTGAAAACAATTACAAACTTCTAAGTAGTTCTTGGGTTGAAAAGGACACTGTTACAGGAGTGAAGATACTTCACTGAAACAGCAGGTTCATGTTAAAATTAGTGGGATACAGATAACATTGTACTTTGAGCTACACTCATTGCTTTAGATATATTTATTAGAAAACAATAAATATGGAAAACAATTCAGATAAATAAAATGAAATGAGAAAAAATGAGATGAGAAATCAATGAAGTAGAGAGCAACAATCCAGAAGCAATAACAAAAAAGATCAGCAAACCAAAAGCTGGCTTTTTATTAAAACTGGTTAATAAAAGCAAGGTAGAAATAAGATACAGAGTAAGGAAGGAGATATGATTTTAGTCACATCAGAAGCATTAACAACAGAATATTGTGGGCTATATACTAATAATTGTGAAAATGTAGACAAAATCAACAAATTTCTGGAAAAAACAACAAAGTCCAAATGGGCAAAATAATTGAATAAACCAATTAATATAAAAGATATTTAAATAGTAATAAAATATTTTCCTCTCCTGCACCAGAGCCTAAAAATCAATTTTACAAGAAAATAGAAAAAAAAATCCAAGAAACAGAATTCTCACCTTACAAAGTTATTGCAGAAAATAGAAAAAGGAGAAAGATTTTAATTCATTTATATGAAAAAGTGAACCAGTAATTCAGCAAATTATAGTCTTTTTGTTGTATGAGTTGCAATGAAAAAGCCTGAAATATTTACTGAATCCAAGACTTTATTAAAAATAATACAATATGATTAAGGTAAACAATGTTAGGAAGGTATCATATTAACAATTGTATTAATTTTAGTAGCTTACTACTATAATGCAGTGAAGATAAAAGGAAGTGAACTATCTTAATAGATGCAGAAAAAAATAACAATAAATTTCAAAATATTCTAGATAAAAATTTTAAAATAAACTTGATAAAGACTATTTACTGAAAACCTACAGCAAACCTCATGCTTAAATGGAGATAATTTCTAAGCATTTTTCTATAGGACTGGGAGCAACACAAAGATGCCTACTATCATGACCACGTATAATGTGTATTAAATGCCCTTGGCCAATGAAGTAAACATGAAAAATAAGTAAGAAGCATAAGTATTGAAAAGAAAAAGAACAAAGTAATATTTATAGTTGACAAAAATCATTTACATAGAAAGCACAATGGAATCAATAGGTAAACCAGTAGCTCTAATGAGAAAGTAAATATTTTGCTGCCACCACAGACTATTAGAAAAGTAATAAAACATAAGATATAATTTATAACAACTAATAATAATTAGAAATCAATCTAACAGAATAGGGGATGGGGATATAGCTCAGTTGGTAGAGTGCTTGCCTTGCATGCACAAGGCCCTGGGTTCAACCCCCAGCACCACAAAAAAAAAAAAAAGGAAGAAAGAAAGTAAATTAATCTAATAGAATATATATGGTAAAAATTTGCAACTCCATTAAACAGCAAAACTTATGGCCCATGTAAGTGGTTATAGCATGTTTGTAATGGCCAGTGCACACTGAGGAGTATCATGTCTCAGTTAGAAGTACTGAATTAGATAGCTATAGTATGGAACAGGTCAGTGTTGCATTTAAAAAAAAAAAAGGAATAACAGATTTGGAGCAATAGCACCATACCATGTACATAAATGCTAAATGTATGTGTCCATAGCCAATACTTTATAGTCTGCCATGGTAATCCATGTCCAAAGTCTTATATAGAATTATAGAGTTGGTTCCAGAGGAGGAGATCTTGGAATGGGAATTAGGGATGAAGGAAAAAAAAACTGCAATAAAACAAAAGCAAGTTGTCGTATGGGCTAATGGCAATTGTGAATTAACAATTAAAGTATGTGCTAAACTCAACTCTCCATACCAAAATAAAAAATAGATAGATAGATTTCCACTATAGTTATTAAAGAAGAGAATAGAATAGAATTGTCCTTGATTTAGAAGTCTAATTTCTTAGCATTCCAGCAGTCTAATTTCTTTTCAGGACAGGAATCAACTCTCCAACATCCTTGGAATATATCATTGTCTACTTGAACCAAAACACTGGACAGACTGTAAGGTTGTAGGATAGACCCAGTGGGTTCAATGTTTTTATATTTGGCTAAAACTGCCCTCCTATATACACCCAACCGTTGGTCCAAGTCTTTGGCCTGTCATTGTATCCAGTGAGTCTGGATCATCTTTCAGAGCAGCACTTCAAACACTTGAAATAAATATTAATATTTTGGCTTTCCTCTTCCAGTCCCACATACCCAGATTTTTGAGTTGTTCTTCCTATGATCCGTTCAGGATCTTCTAAAAAATGTCAGGAATTCACAGTGTAATGTTAACATCAGCTATTAAATGTTGCTTGCTTATTTGAGAAATGTACTGGAAACTCACCAAGCATTGTGCAAGATGCTATGCATGGGTGCTTGACCAAAAGGAAATTGCTTCTAGGAGAGTTATAATTTAAAGATCTTGAAAGTTGTCTTAATATACTGGATTTTGAAATGTATAAAGCTCAAGAAAATACCTACTATGCAGAATAAGTAGCCACACTTTATATACTGATTTATTCATTCATTTATTTGAGAACTATTCATTGAATATATTTTCTTTGCCAAGGATTGCTGTAGTCGCTGGAAACTGGAACGTGCTTCTTAATACCATAAAGAATGAATCAAAGTTCTAGAACCGAATCACAGGAAGCAGGCTTGCTTCTGGTGGCTTTTACTGAACCAACCAGAAGAAACTGGCTCCCTCTGAACATGGCTGCATTTCACTTCTATACTTGGTCATAGCCTTGGATTGCTGTGACCCAGGAACTCAATACATAATGATTCACATTTGGGAACTCCAGCCACATGTCTGCTGCTCATGTCATCTGAAAATCTAGAATTCCTCTTTTTAGTGACTTTGAAAGGATGTTCAAGGGTGAAATTAAATCACTGTGGTTTGAGGATGGGCATTGAACCTGGTACATTCCAAACTAACAAGGTTCTAACATTTTGAACTTGTAGAAAAATTCAAGAGGCCTTAAAATCAATTCAGTCATCTCTTCAGAAATATGCTTCTTAGTCAATAATGTCTACGAATAAGGCACAACTCTTTCAGCAAATATTTTTACACACTGTGGAGGATAAAAGGGAGACCCAAGCATGCTTTGATAATGCTTAGAACCTAGGTGGGAAATGGGATCACACATAGGAGAATATCTTTAAAGTATTTTTTTTAAATATTTATTTTTTAGTTTTAGGTGGACACAGTATCTTTATTTTTATTTTTATGTGGTGCCTCATACATGCTAAGCGAGCACGCTACCGCTTGAGCCACATCCCCAGCCCAGGAGAATATCTTTAAAATACCCACATGTAACACTATACAGAGCATGGAAAGGGGCTACAGTTGTGATCTGATACCTGTTAGGGAATTTTTTAAATGGCTCCATTCTGACCACAGGTTTTCCTAACTTAAGATGGCTCCATTATACATGTGGAATTTAGGTTACGGTAAGCATGTTTATATTGCATTACAGGTTTAACTTTGATACAAAAGAAAACATAAATCCCTAAGTAAGGCAAGTACAGAGAATATGTTGGCTGTGTGAGGAGAATGAGACCCTGATCCCTTACCGTACACATTTCCAGCACTTCTGGATTCTCTAACTCCACTGAACACAACCAAGTTCTACAGAGAGACTAGGCCAGTGTGTATAACGCCTGCCCCTAACCCCAACTACTTTTTATTAATGAAGAAATAGACTGTGATTTTTGCAAAGCCACAGTCACTGGACTGAAACTCAGGGTTCAGAACTCATTGCCAAGTGCCCTTTCCTCTGTATGAAGCTGACAGAAAGAGGATGTCAACTGTGATGTAGTCCCTTTAACGAGTCAGGAAGAATAGGGTCAGGTGTCCCTTTCCAAGAAGTGAAGAGGGGCTTTAAGCCTTCTTGTAGTGTTCGTCTTGAAGGCAGCGATATGAGGAGTGATTTCTCTGAGGCTAATAGACAGAAGATCTTCAGTTACCCTGACTGGGAGACTCTGAATTGGCCACGAGAATTTGTCATTCCAGACCTCCGCTTGCAGGTGAAGCAGTTACCAACTGTGAGAGTTGTTGCCCCATCTCTTCTTTAATTTGCTTTGTCCAGAGTTCTTATCTTCACCGTTAAGGTAAGACATTCACATAGTTGTCATCATTGTTCTCTGGGGGAAAAAGCAAAGGACCATCCATGAGACTTCATGCCCAGAAGCTATATTAACCAACCCCACTCAAGGGAAAGAAGACCAGCATTTTTCTTTTCTTTTTTTAAGAATGAACTTTTAAATAAATGATCCTAGGATCAATGGATATTTTCTTTTTATTTATTTTTTTAACTTTTTCCATATTTTTATTGTTGTTTTATAGTGAAGCCACCTTGTTTTTTTTTTCTGTTTTGGGGAGAAGGGGGTATTATTGTTGTATAGTTACACATAACATACAATATAATTTGGCCAATATCATTCTCCTCCCATTCCCCCTCTCCTGGTCACTTTTCTCTATTCTATTGATCTCCCTTCAATGTTCATGACACACAGCAATCTTGGTGCCATATCAAAGTGACATCTTCAAATTGTGGGGGAGCTTTTCTGGAAAAATAGGGGGTTCCTTTATAAGCCAAGCTTTAAAGTTTCCAGCACTAGATATCTGCATTCACCATGGAAAATGAGTGCCTTCATCAGAAGCTTGCTCTAAAGAGGCAAAGGCAACGGGAGGAGGAACATAAGGTCAATGAGAGATATTTCCCTTTCTGTAGATGAGTATTTGCTCACTCTGCAAGTACTGACCAAACATGGAGAACTGGTGGGGAGATTCTTGCCCAGGTCTTGGGGAATATTTTTAAGTGATTCTTTCTCCTCTTGGGTTTTGTGACCAAGGCTCTATCCTCTGTCCTCCCTGGCTAGCATATCTGATCTCACCACCATCACCTGCCCACTGGCAACTACATCACTTTCCATTGATAATGTAGCCATACATTTAACTAGAAAAGATCAGGATTAAATGTCTCTGGAAGTCAAATTCAAACTACATTGCAACTGAGAGGTACTAGATTCTGTTGAGAGCAAATCTTAAGGGTGAGGGTAAGCAATAGTGGCTGCTAGTGATAAGATTTGAGACTTCTCAGATAGATTGTCTGCTCTCAAATTTACCACTATGGTTTCATATCTTTAGGGATATATCTGAAATATTTGTCAGCTATCCCTTTATAAATGGATGCTTATTAAATATTGGGGGAAAATGTAAGAGAAGAAGTGTGAATGAGAGAGTTGAAGTGATTTTCTTATTGGAAAATCTGTCCACGTGTTCATTTATTCCCAAATTTGAGCAGATTGCATGAGGTTGCAGAATGAATTCAAAGCCAGCCCAGTACCCTCTCTTGCTATTTTGGCTGCCCAAACACAGCTGTCCACCACTTGTAGGGGCTGGAAGACATTATTTTTCAATAAAATTGAAATTGCACTTAATAGGATGAAGCTTTACAGAGGTAATGTCATGGGAAAGGGCATCTATTTGTATTCATTCTGCCAAGTAGGACATTGGTGGAAATAGGTTGAAGGCTCCTTTCTGATCCCACAGGAAAGCTTTTATCTTATATACCATCCAGTTTAACTTTCAGTCTTCTCCTTCTTAAGCTGGGACTGCTTCTCTTTATTGGCTTTGAAAGGTGAACCGCCAGACCTTGGTTTGGCTTTTCAAACTTGGAGATCAATTCCTTTAGGCTTGGAAAGATCTGTTTTGGAGTACCTTCCAAAGTCTGCAAGAAAACAAGAAAGGAAGTCACTCATAATCTGCAATTGTGTGTGAATTGTGAAACTTCCTGAAATAGCGGTTCTCAGGGTTGCTTCTGAGAGTGGACAAACTGAAAACAAGAGGCCTACAGCTCATGTTTAAGAGCTCACACCAACTGCGATTCATAAAGACTGTGTTTCTGAGTCCAGCTCTGACTTGAGCTACTCTGAGTAAAGAGGATTTACAATCAAGAAATATGCAACTTGGACTGCAGTGTCAAGTCAGCCCTATCCTTGGCAGGTTTGGGGGCAATTCTTGTCGTAGATACACTGTAAAGGGAACTGCTCTAAGAGCTTATTTCAGACTTGTGCCCTACTGGCAAGCTTTGCTAGGGAACTGAGGTGGACTTCTGATGGGAAATGCAAAACATGCAATTTACATACAGGATGAATTCAGAATCCCCCCAAAAGGTTGCAATTTAAATTGAAAGGAGGAACATCAACTTGACTCAGTAAAATTGTGAATAGTTGTTTTCTGTTTGTCAGCTGTAAACCAAATACTATTTTCTGATACAATCTTATAGAAATAATTTTAAAATAAAAAGAATTTGCTTCCTCTACCCTTATGTATTTAGTTATCTTGATCACCACTGTGGTTCTCATAGGACCACCGTGTTGGGCTACAAAGAAGGGTGTTAATCAGGTTTTCTGACATGCAGTGTAAAGATACTGATGTAGGCTGACACTGAAGTTGTGTACAGGAGGTCTCCATAATACAGTCACTTCAACCCATCATCCACAGCAGGCCTCTGAAGACAGGGCTTTCCTCTTAGAATGCTTTCAGATGGTCACATCTTGGGTTCAAGAGATGATCTCAGGTTTTCCTCTCCCAGGTTTTGCCTTGATCTGCAGGAGTCCTTATGTATTCTCACCTGAATCTTGTAATACCCATGTCTCTCTCTGAAGATTCGGTATGTATAGACAAGATTTCTAAACCTGTGAAAAGATGACTGTATGGATCATAATGTTCTTATATACAAATCGAGGCAACATGTCTCATTAGATTTCTTAAGTTCTTTTTTTTAAAAAAAAATATTTATTTATTTGTACTAATCAGTAATACAAGACAGCAGAATGTTCTTTGATTCATTGTACTCAAATAAATTGACTTCTCTGGTTGTATTCTCACCCGATTTTATATGCAATGCTTTTATCAATCTTGGATCCTGAAAGAAACTGGTCAATATCAGACCCTCTCATCTGAAGGAATTTGAAAGACACAGGGGCTTTGAAATGGGGAGCTCTATTATTAGGATGGAAGTCTTGACTCTGGCAAAGAGAATAAGGAGAGAGAAAATTTACAGCTCCAGTGGTCTTGGTGCTTCACCCTAGCTCTTTCACCTAGCTCTAGGTTGACAGAAGATATAAAACACCATTGAGCTACGCCCATGCTATTTATCAGTGATTTCTCATTGACTGCATTAGAGAATGTTGGGAATTTTGTCCAAGCAAGTGATGTATTGTGCTCTTGTTTCTCATTGGAATAGGAGTCACTGGCTAATCATCTAATCATAATTTAGATAACGGACCCATTTTAGCAATTTTCCAAGCAAGAAATAAAATTCCATATTGAATTCTTCAATTCTAAGATGTTATCAATGGTAAGATACATTATTAATTTCTAATAGCTTTCCTGGAGAAGAGTACAAACATTAAATGAACCCGCCAACTATTGGACATATTCTGATTTCACAGAACATTACAATGTAAAAAAAAAAAAAAAAATAGAATCAAAAACATTGAATGAGGCTCAAACTTCCTGATGTCCCCGCCCTCCACCACCCGTACACCTATGCCAAAGAATGAAATGACTCATTTTTTATATTCAGTTTTTAGTTATAGGTGGACACAATGTCTTTATTTTACTTTTTGTGGTGCTGAGGATCAAACTCAGTGCCTCACACATGTAACCTAGGGCCAGCACTCTACCTCTGAGCCACAACTCCAGCCCTGACTCTATTTCCAGCTTTAAGGTACAAGTATCACACTATAATTCATCACTAATTGTCTGGAGGTTTTGGTAATTGATTTCAAATCCTGATCCTTTCTGGCGGGGGGCGGGGGGGGGGGGAGTCTCATGAGGCCAAAATAAGCCAGTGAGTATCACATGACAAGTGTGATATAAAACCAAAAAGTTATATGACTGTCCGCGTGTGACAAAGTATTCTAGACTGGGAAGAGGTCTCAAAAATGTTTTTCCAAAGAAATATTGTTTAAATTGGGATCTAAACAAAGTCTGTAATTGCATTTGGTTAATTCCACAGTTTTTTGTTTGCTTGTTGTTTTAGAACCTTGTTATGATATAACCTATACTAAATTCTTAAATGTCTTTATTTTAATTATATTATTAAATTATCTAAGGTAATCCTCACTAGAGGACTATGAAAAAAATAAAACACATGGAGGTGCTATGTTAATTTGATTAAAAGCCAAGATACAAGACAGACATTGCTCAAATATGGTCTTATTTTTTTTGCAAATTAGAAAATTCTAAAAGGAGTAACAAGTTACATTACATTAATGCTTTATAAGAAATTAACTTATTGAACTTGTGATACCTATTCTTGCTTATTTTGGAATGCTTTCCAAAAAACACTATGAAGCTCTGGGTGCTGTGGTGCACACCTGTAATCCCAGAAGCTAAGGAGTCTGAGACAGGAGAATTGTGAGTTCAAAGCCAGCCTCAGCAAAAGTGAGGCACTAAGCAATTCAGTGACCTTCTGTCTCTAAATAAAATACAAAATACGGCTGGGAATGTGGCTCAGTGGTCCAGTGCCTCTGAGTTCAATCCCTAGTACCAAAAAAACAAAAAAAACAAACACTGTGAGATTACAGAGCAATGAGTTTAGTAGGTTAGTATGTATTTTGTATGATTATATATACATGATATATTTATAACAAGATTTATATGAATTTATGATGACATGATATGATTTGAATGTTTGTGTACCAAAATTCATGTAGGTTTCTTTCATTTATTTTTTGTGGTTCTGGGGATGGAACCTAGGGTTTCATACATGCTAGGCATGTACTCTGCCTCTGAACTATACCTCCAGCCCCCTAATTCAGTAGAAACCTAATCTCCACTGTGGTGGTATAAAGAGGTGGGACATTTTGGAAAATGATTAATTCTTGATGACAGCTATCATGAATGAGATTAATGTCCTTATAAAAAGGCTTCAGAGAAGAAGAAAAAAGAGGGAGAAAACTCAAATCACTAAAATATGGGATGAAAAAGAAAATATCACAATGGACATGACTGAAATACAGAAGACAATTGGAAATTATTTTGAAAATTTATATTCTAATAAAATAGAAAATATTGAAGACATCAAAATATTTCTAGAGACATAAGACCTACTCAAACTGAATCAGTAGGTCATACACACTTTAAACAGATCAATTTCAAGAAATGAAATAGAAAACACCATCAAAAGCCTAAAGCCTACAAATCAAGAAAAGCCCAAGATCAGATGAATTCTTGGTCAAATTCTACAAGACCTTCAAAGAAGAATTAACACCAGTACTACTCAAAGAATTCCATGAAATAGAAAACTCATTCTATGAGACCAAAACCAGACCAAGACACGTCAAGGAAAGAAAGCTTCAGACTAATATCCCTGATGGACATACATGCAAAAATTCTCAATAAAATTCTGACAAATAGCATAAAAAAACATATTAAAAAAACAGTGCACCACAATCAAGTGGGGGTTCATCTCAGGGATACAGGATTGGTTCCACATATGGAAATCAATAAATGTAATTCATCATATCAATAGACTCAAAACAAGAATGAATGACCATCTTAATAGATGCAGAAAAAAGCATTTGACAAAATACAGCAACCCTTCATGTTCAAGACACTAAAAAAACTAGGGATAGTAGGAACATACCTCAAAATCATGTAACTTATATATGCTACACCCAAGGCCAACATAATTTTGAACAGGAAAATTGAAAATATTCCCTCTAAAAACTGAAACAAGGCAAGGATGCCCTCTTTTACCATTTTTATTCAACATCATCTTTGAAACTCTAGCCAGAGAAATTAGACAGAAGAATTTACAAGGATACAAATAGGTAAAGAAGAACTCAAACTATCACTATTTACTGATGACATGATTCTATATTTAGAAAATCCAAAAAATTCCACCATAAAATTTCTACAACTAATAAATGAATTCAGCAAAATAGCAGGTTATAAAATCAACACCCATAAATCGAACACATTTCTATACATCAGCAATTAACCCATTGAAAGAGAAATTAGAAAAACTACCCCGTTCACAATAGCTTCAAAAAAATAATACTTGGGAATCAATCTAACAAAGTAGGGGAAAGTCCTCTACAATGAAAAATACAGAACACTAAAGAAGGAAATTGAATAAGACGTTAGAAGATGGAAAGACCTACCATGCTCCTGGATAGGCAGAATTAATATTGTCAAAATGCCCATACTACCAAAAGTGTTATAAAGAGCTGATGCAATTCCTATTAAAATCCCAATGTCGGGCTGGGGATGTGGCTCAAGCGGTAGTGTGCTCGCCTGGCATGCGTGCGGCCCGGGTTCGATCCTCAGCACCACATACAAAGATATTGTGTCTGCC